TTGTACATGGTAGGGATAAAGCAAATTTTCCCGTAGGATTGTATGGACTATGGTATGCGATAGTCTTACGCGGCGGCCTAATTCCCGAGTGCTGATATCTGCATTGATTTCCACGATATTTAAAATTCGTTCCTCCTGCTCTACAGAAACCTATCTTTCACGAGTGCGAATATTGGTGGGCTGAACACTTCCTGTATCTCGAAGTCTTTGGTATACTTGCACAAATGTCCTATTTGAGCTGCAAGATTTGAATTCTGACGAGCTAACTAACAACATGTCGGCGAACTCTTGATTCGAGAACATTGTAAATAAACACGACGACGTACGCGAACAAAAACAAAACAACACGCCTGATACTCTGCTCGACAAAACGATAAAGTAATTTATCTATGCAGAACGATAACTAATCCCTGTTACCGTTTGCGATCGATCGCCGGTTCGATAAGAGTGATGAAAGACCGACGCGCTGTTGTCATGTGTGTTTTAAATATTTAATTTAATGAAACTTACTGACTACAAATTTTGGCTTAACTTAGAAAAACTTAATGCCATTTATTTGTTAATTACCCAATTTAAATATGTACGTTTTAGATTGGATTATAAAAATTAGTAAGATTGTGGTGATTGTGGTCGATATAAAGCACTTAAAGTTGTAAACTATAAAGGCATTTAGACAAAAATCTATTGACTTTTGGACCATAGGTCATATGAACTTTTTGACTTGTTTTGAGCCCCCTATTACCCATTTCAATAATGACTACCATAACGTTTACGCCCTTTGTATATTTCGATACGTATTTGCCAAAGTAACGTAAGTCACCAAAAACGATTTCGGAGAAAAAACGTGTTTTTAATTTAACCTGGTACTTACGTTATTTTACGGGTTCAGAAATCTCGAAGTCTTGATCAAAAATGTAACGTAAGTACACAGATACGTCAGTTTGGCGGCTAATTGTAGCACTTAAAGTATTTTGTAAAGAATTAAAAACTATCGTTTATTATTTAAAAAAACACAAAATAACGTTACAAAAGAAAATATGAAATTCTTACTAGTAAAAAATATATATTTTTTCAAGTTTTGGAGCTTTCATCTTCATTATCATTCTCTGCATCAGTTTCTGCTAACTCATCTGGAAGAGAAGACTTACATTTTAATTTAAAGGATTCATCGTGAAACCTGGCAGGTATGACATGTAATTAACTAACGGCTGAAAATATTCTTGTTTTCCTGTTCAAATTGAACACCCACTGTTCCATTTGAGCTATCAGTACTTATTGGAACATTTATTTTTTCTTGCATAGTATGGTTACCATCATTTTCATAAGGACTCGAATTGTTAGAAGACAATAAAATTGATTGATCTATTTCGATTACGTCTTCATTTACTAAAGTAGTTTTTAAAATATTTTCGGAATTATCTAGATCAAAAATATTGTCACTTGAAATAATGGATATCGGCATAGACCAGATTTCTTCCTCAGAATAAACATTATTCGATTCATCATTTTGGCTAAGAGCCGCCAAAATCCTTTTTGTTCGTGAACTGACCATAGACATAATCTTAAAGTATCCGAGCATTTATGTTTACAATGTTTCATAGCTTCTATAAAAATTAGAATAGATACAAATACAAGAGTCTTTCTCTAACTTCAATCGATTCATTCCTGTAAATTTCTCACAGGCTTCGAGGTTATGACAGAATAACTTCTAATAAATAAACGAAAATAAATATGAAATTGGAGTTTTATAGGTAGGTACATAATATTAGTTAAGGTTTTAATATTTTTAAATTCTAACTACAAAAAAACGTTTTTTTTGACTTCAACCGATTCATTCCTGCAAATTTCTCACATACCGTGAGGTGATCACACAATCATTTGTAATAAATGAACGAAATTAAATATGAAATGGAATTTTATAGGTATGTACCTACATGATATCAGTTAAGATTGTAATATTTTTTAATTCTAACTATACAAAAATGTCGTTATTATTTACTTACCTAAAATCAATAACACTGATCAACAGCCAAAAAATAGCCTAAATAAAATCAACAAAATATTACTATTTTTAATGTGCTAAAACCGGAATGAAACTTATTTTTTCAATATTAGTTCAAGTTTTAGAGATACGGTAATTATATGTGTTCCTGCTGTGACAGTGTTAATATACTGTAATTCACAAGAATGCACCTGCTACATTTTTATATTCGGCAAGGAAAGATGATGTAATCGGCATGATTGTGTTACGTTATACATACGTGTACATTATATTGTTTTATATTAGCCATTTTTTTCTCAGTTGGCTGACAGCGTTCATGCAAGATGTCTCGAAAGTGTGTAAACAATCCAGATCAGTTTTGTTACGTGTGTGGTGATGTGACTTTTGCGTCTCAGAGACGGTCTATTACTCCACTAATAACAAAGGCATATCAGCTTTATTTCGGTTGTAAACTAGGTGATCAAGACAAACAGTGGGCACCCCACATCTGCTGTAATACATATGCTTCAAGTCTGAGGAGCTGGTTAAATGGCAAAAAACGGTCTATGCGCTTTGCTGTCTCAATGGTTTGGAGAGAGCCTACAAATCATATTAATGATTGTTACTTTTGCATGGTACCTTATGTTGGACAAGCCACAGGTATGTCCAAGAAAACAAAATCTGTTATTAACTACCCAAACATACCATCTGCGATGAGACCTGTGCCTCACAGTGACGAAAATCCTATTCCAAAACCCCCAGAATCCTACACTTGCGAATCAGAAAACGAATCAGATCATGGCGATCGAGTGATTCGTCAGGAAGAAGATATGCCATCAACGTCAAGAGATCCTGATTTTATACCGAGTACGTCATGGTCATGCCACCAACCGCACAAAATAACACAGTCAGAATTAAATGATCTTGTAAGAGATTTATAATTTCCAAAATGTAAGGCAGAGTTACTTGGATCAAGACTGCAGCAGTGGAACTTGTTAGAAGACGATGTTTCGGTATGTGTTTTTCGTAAACGCCACAAAGACTTAGAACCATTTTTTAATATGGAGAATAACTTGGTTTTCTGCAGTAACATTAACGGCTTACTGGCGGCTTTAAATATAAACTATAACCCAGAAGAATGGAGATTGTTTATAGACAGTTCAACATTGAGTTTAAAGGCAGTGTTATTGCATATTGGAAATATTTTACCATCTCTTCCTGTAGGGTATGCAGTTCACATGAAAGAATCATATGACAATATGAAGTACCTATTGACATGCATAAAATACGATGAGCACCAATGGCATATTTGTGGCGATTTGAAAGTTGTTGCACTTTTACTTAGGCTGCAGGTAGGCTACACAAAGTTTTGCTGTTTTTTGTGTGAATGGGACAGTCGGGCAAAGGCACTTCATTACACCAGACAAAACTGGCCTGTTCGTCAATTCCTAGAGCCAGGTCAAAAAAATGTACAGCATATGCCATTAGTAGATTCGAAAAAAATTTTATTACCACCACTGCATATCAAGTTGGGCCTAATGAAAAACTTTGTCAAGGCATTAGATAGAGATGGGTCAGCTTTTCAATACCTGCGTCAGAAATTTCCAAGTCTAAGTGAGGCAAAGGTTAAAGAAGGTATTTTTGTTGGGCCACAGATTCGAAATATTTTGAAAGATACACAGTTTGAAAACACTTTAACAGGTATTGAAAAAGCTGCTTGGAATGATTTCCGTCTGGTGGTCACTAATTTCTTGGGAAATAGAAAAGCTGACAACTATAAAACCCTTGTCAAAAATATGCTGTCATCGTATCAAAAGATGGGCTGTAATATGTCTCTTAAGATACATTTCCTACACTCACACCTGGACTTTTTCCCTGACAATTGCGGAGCCGTAAGTGATGAGCACGGCGAACGTTTTCATCAGGATATTTCAACAATGGAAAAAAGGTACCAGGGAAAGTGGAATCCTTCCATGCTTGCAGACTACTGTTGGACTCTTGGTAGAGATGCTCCAGAAACGATCCATAAAAGAACAGCAAAAAGACAGCGCATATAGTGATTCTTATAAGTATATGAATCTTGTTACTTTTTTTAATAGATCCTTAAAAATAAAAAGTTTTTTTTCTAAACCGCAACTAATTTTTTTATTTCATTGTCATTTTTGGATTCAGCGCCCCAAAATTAACAAAGAAGTGCACTTTTCCCACAAGATACAATTAAAAAACTAAAATTTGTTGTCCAGTGTAATTAGTCGATGGTAGCACGAACCTAACACTGTCGTAAGCCAAACACTGACTGCGAAAATCTGACGTAAGTCGCAGAAACCGACAGGGACTTACGTTATTATGGCGGTAAAAAACGTTAGCTTGCATTACTATGATGGAAATAGTGTTAAAGTTACTTTCTTTTACGGATATGATTTAAAAAATTCTGGACACACGTTTTCAAAAAAAGTTAAAAACAAAGGTTTAAAGTAAAAGCTAGGCTTCCTACACTTTGGCAGTACCTTCTCAACAATAAAATCCTTACGTTAATGGAAAAACATGATTTTCACCAAAAATGTCACTTACGTTACTTTGGCAAAAATGCATCGATTTTATTCGATTTTTACCCAAAAACGGATCATTTTATTGAAATCAAACAACAATATCTCTCCAGATAAAACATCAGACTTTCTAAAAATACTACCATATTTTGAGTGTTGAGAAAATTATTGCGTTATGCGTAGTCTGTACTTGGTGAACTAAATCATTTAATTTTTCCACGGACACTTACATATCAGGCCCCAATTAGTTACCAACTATCAAAATATTATTGAGTTATTCAGTTTCTTTCAATAAGTAGTTAAGAAAAACCGGTTATAGTTTGTGAAAAGAATAAGCCCTCGAATTTTGGCCCCATGTTTTGGTAACACCAAGTATATTGTGCGATATACCTATGTATGGCTGAATTAATAATGTTTATCGACAGAAAACTATAAGAAATGGCAAGAAAGTTCATTTATTTGACTGTTTTTCTTTTTTGTTACAGCTTGTGACTGTGATCCAGATGGTTCTCAATTTTTGACCTGCAATTCGATCACCGGAGCGTGTTACTGTAAGCCGCACTATGTGGGGAAAACGTGCAATACTTGCGAGGTTAGTAACAATTTATTGTTCTCGTATCAGCTTGTTTGACTTTAAACAATATCAGCTCAAGACTTTTGGCGCCCCTAGGCTAGTCTGTACATACTTTTGGAATCCAATTTCATACTTTTCTCAAAAAATATGTTCATTCAACTTTTTGGCGTAATTCGCATAGTTCGAAGTTGAGTCATTTATTTTAACAGTGAGTAGATCTGATCAAAAGAAATGTTTTTTTCCTTTACCATTTTTCTGGTAAAATTAAAGTAACAAAGTTATAGCCCTTTGGAAGTTTGAGTACCGCCCTGTCTCAATAGTAATATTATGTGCTCGTGTTTGGCGACAACGGATATAATTCGCCTTATCGGTTCATCGCATCGGAAACAAAAAAGCGAAAGAATTTGGAACGATGTTTTTACAATTATTTCATTTCGTTGTATACAGTCAGTGTCAGTCGGTAGTGGATAGTGGTGTCTGTTGCGTGGCTCAAACGCAATAAAAAATGGCACATGTTTATGCGAGTGCAACCAACCCCTCATGCCTTTGTTAATGTAGTACAACGGGTTCGTGAATCATTTGACTTAAGACCTCACATATGGACGGCATGCCGGTGCTCCAAGACCTCACGATCAAATACAAGTCCGCACTGAAATACTTGTCGGGAGGATACTTTATAGAACAAGGTAAACATTTTTTTTATTTTTTTTTTATTTTTACACACATATTTTGGTTTATCTTCCTTCTACAATCATTATCTGAAAATTAATGACTCAACTTCAAAGTCACCCTGTATAGTAGAGCCGACCCTGAACAACATCACAACACCCGAGAATCCTGTAGTTATTTCCAATTCTGGTAACGAAGTTATGACTGCATGAATACCTACCCGTTTTTTATCGGAATGAGAATCTATACTAAATGACATATAAATCCGAACACCCAGTTTAAATGGTTTTATTTTAATAAAAGTTGGTGAATGTATTTATCTTACTGTAAATAACAAGTGAAAAAATTTTCAGCCTTATCAGTTGGACATTCCGGTTTTTATACTGTTTTTTTTTTAATTCACTAACGCTCGAAAAATGAATATTTCAGCCGCAGTAAAGAATCAACGTTGGCGGATTTTGGTTATTGACATCGTTTACGATCGGTTACGATGCCTAGAGTACGGAGACCTGTACGATTTCGTCAACTTAGTGAGTTTGATAGGGGCCGTATAGTGCGACTTCGGGAAGCTGGACTTTCTTTTCGGGCAATTGCAGTTAGAGTGCAAAGAAGTGTAGACACTGTGGTTAGGTGTTGTCAGGCATGCCTTCGAGAAGGCCGTACGCAAAGAGCAAGGGGCACTGGACGCCGCCGTAGAACAACAGACCGTGAAGATCGCCGCCTAAGATTATTGGCCTTAAGGGACCGTTTCTCCACTACCAGGTTCATTGCAAATGAATGGTTTGCAGAACACTAAAGACCTATTGGCATGCGGAGTGTTTACCGACGAATGAGAAGTTTTGGCTTGTTTCCATACCGGCCACACTGGGTCCTCCCTTTAACTCGAGAACACCGACGTAATCGCCTTGAGTGGTGCAGACAACGGTCACTCTGGGATCAGGAATGGAACAGTATTGTCTTTAGTGACGAGTCTCGATTTTGTTTAGGCATGCACGATGGTGGTGCCAGGGTTAGAAGGCGACGTGGTGAAAGGAGGAATCCACAGTTTTTTGTTGAGACATGTTCATCGCACTGTTGGAGTTACGGTTTTGGGGTGCTATAGCTTATGGTTCCAGGTCACCTTTCTATCTTCATCAGAGGTAACATGAACGCGCAGCGTTATATACGTCCTCCTCAGACTCTAGAAGCACTTCGAGAGGAGTTGGTGGTTGCCTGGAATGAGATACCACAGGAGGACATTGACCATCTGATCAGAAGCATGCCTAGGCGCGTTCGAGAATGATGCGTAGCACATCAGGGTGCATCCACACATTATTAAAGGTCAAAGGGCTTTAAAGCAGTGCAATCATTTTGAAATTTTTATCAATTACTTATTATGCTTCATTAAGTACTTATACAAAATTTTATTAAAATAAAACCATTTAAACTGGGTGTTCAGATTTATATGTCACTTAGTATATGATTGTAATTTGCCCTGGTTATCGTAGTAAACTTGAATAATAAATAAGATATAATTTCTCTTTATTTCATGAATATCCTGCTCTGAGACAGTAGACAATTCTGAAATCCATCGAAAAGGTAGACATTTTATGTCCACAAAATAATATAGTAGTCCAGGCTAGGTAAAAAAAAAAAGTGAAAAAAACTATAGCAGATATCTGAAAATTTTAAATGGAAGGGGGAGTCTTTCTGATGACAAATATATACTAAGTGACATATAAATCCGAACACCCAGTTTAAATGGTTTTATTTTAATAAAATTTTGTATAAGTACTTAATGAAGCATAATAAGTAAATGGTAAAAATTTCAAAATGATTGCACTGCTTTAAAGCCCTTTGACCTTTAATAATGTGTGGATGCACCCTGATGTGCTACGCATTCTCCAACGCGCCTAGGCATGCATCTGATCAGGTGGTCAATGTCCTCCTGTGGTATCTCATTCCAGGCAACCACCAACTCCTCTCGAAGTGCTTCTAGAGTCTGAGGAGGGCGTTGCAAATTGAGCAATCTCCTACCCATCATATCCCACACGTGCTCAATTGGGGATAAGTCGGGAGATCTTGGTGGCAATGGTAACAATGTGACATCATTATGTTGAAAGAAGTCTATTGTGACTCTTGCAACATGTGGTCGGGCATTATCTTGTTGGAAAGTTGGATCTGCCAGGGTGTCAAGATAGGGTAAAAGATGGGGTTCTAGAACTTCGTGGATATAACGCTGCGCGTTCATGTTACCTCTGATGAAGATTAAAGGTGACCTGGAACCATAAGCTATAGCACCCCAAACCATAACTCCAACAGTGTGATGAACATGTCTTTCAACAAAAAACTGTGGATTCCTCCTTTCACCACGTCTCCTTCAAACCCTGGCACGACCATCGTGCATGCCTAAACAAAATCGAGACTCGTCACTAAAGACAATACTGTTCCATTCCTGATCCCAGAGTGACCGTTGTCTGCACCACTCACGGCGATTACGTCGGTGTTCTCGAGTTAAAGGGAGGACCCAGTGTGGCCGGTATGAAAACAAGCCAAAACTTCTCATTCGTCGGTAAACACTTCGCATGCCAATAGGTCTTCCGTGTTCTGCAAACCATTCATTTGCAATGGACCTGGTAGTGGAGAAACGGTCCCTTAAGGCCAATAATTTTAAGCGGCGATCTTCACGGTCTGTTGTTCTACGGCGGCGTCCAGTGCCCCTTGCTCTTTGCGTACGGCCTTCTCGAAGCCATGCCTGACAACAGCTAACAACAGTGTTTACACTTCTTTGCACTCTAACTGTAATTGCCCGAAAAGAAAGTACAGCTTCCCGAAGTCGCACTATACGGCCCCTATCAAACTCACTAAGTTGACGAAATCGTACAGGTCTCCGTACTCTAGGCATCGTAACCGATCGTAAAGGATGTCAAGAACCAAAATCCGCCAACGTTGATTCTTTACTGCGGCTGAAATATTCATTTTTAGAGCGTTAGTGAATTAAGAAAAAGCAGTATAAAAACCGGAATGTCCAACTGATAAGGCTGAAAATTTTTTCACTTGTTATTTACAGTAAGATAAATACATTCACCAACTTTTATTAAAATAAAACCATTTAAACTGGGTGTTCGGATTTATATGTCACTTAGTATAGTTTAGTCAAGTATTAAGTTATAATCTATGATGGCTAGTTAGTGTTTATATAAATTTCTTCATTAAAAAAAAACATAAATATTTTGTACCAAAACTAGGACATACGTTTCTTACTTTTTGACCAAGAAGGTCCAGTCCCACACGAAAAGGGATTCACCCCGAGTCCTCAGGGCAGGAGTAATCACACGTGTCGACCCATCTAGTTTTTATAAAACGATAAAACCCCGGCGGCGAATAATATACCTTTGCAATTTGCGTATTATTTACCGAGGATGTGCTCATTTCTCAGCCGATGTGGTTTAGGGTATCTATCAACGTGTATGGTGCTTATATGGCGCGTGTAGGTCACTACGGGGTGAGCACTCGTTGCAATATGTCCATAGGAACTTTTTTTAAGCGACCTTACGAATCACTCAATGAAGTTTCGTATAGTATAGTTTGTATAGCAAACATCATACTAGTGTTCTGGTTTCTGAAAATGTTAATTACAAAAATGGAGTCGACAGTAACCTCCTTACCTGAAAAATATTTTAATCTCTACAGTGTGATTGATAACTACGTGGTGATCCAAACATACGTACGTTTTATTTTCAATTCTTTTAGATATTTGACGATGTATCGAAAGAACAGTCAACTTTGACTTGCCCCTCCGCAATTGTTGAAGCTAGAGTACTGAATTTTTCGTCAGAAACATTTTACGATACCAGATTTTTCGCTACCTACATAGTCTTTCAGCTTTCAAGACGTTAAATGAACTGTTTTTTCAAAATTTTCCAAATGGAACCTTTTAACATGCTGTTACTTCCTATGCCAAAACTGGTGCGGACGTATTGTAATCGCGAGAAATTTCGAAATTGAGATATTATGTTTTTTGGATCTTATGTGACATGTACGTCACGAAAACCATGTCACTCATATCCGTCGGTCTGTATGTCGGTCCCTCCGCTAATTCTATAACCGCCTATAACTTGAAAAGTACCGCTCGGATTATGTAGTTTTCAATAATCAATCTAGTGGAGGCGGAGCTATGGACAAAAAAACAAACAAAATAAATATCTCTTAAACTTCGTTTTTTAAAGCTTCTGATCGTTTTCGGAATTTCTGGTATTGGTTGAAACTTGAAGGTTGTGGGTTGTAACCTTTAATTTAGGGCGTTTGAACGAGTGCAGTATCTTTTAAAATAAAAAATAGCATTTCGTTGGTAACGGCAGATCGCTAGAATCACTCAATTTTTATTGTAAGTCAATCTTATGCAATATGGTCGAAAAGTCAAGGAGGTGTTTCGCCATTTGTAGTAACACGAAAGCAACACGTACAAACCCCCGTGAACAGTATATCAGAAAAAAGCTTGTGAAAAGGAAAAGGAAAGTAAACGCATACAGCGTGTATTTGAGAAACAGTTCATTTTAATTTTTTGACCACCATGTACAAAGTGTTCAAAAAAACTGAAAAAGGAAACTGGTATCAAAAAAATGTGCGATCATAAAATTTTTCTGGCGAGAAATTCGGTACAGCTATAACAGTTGCGAAGATACGTGTTGTCAAAGTTGAGTATTTTTTTGATAGATTATCCAATATCTCAATAATTTGAAAATAAAACCGTATTGTTATATTTTCAGGGTGGCCCATCCACGTGTGGACGGAAGATTACTCATAAACAAATACATTTTGTTGAAATCTATTAACAGGATGTTATACATGACATTTGAGGGTACATTTCTAAAATATTGGTCATTGTACAGAGTGTCCCAATTTTGACCTACATATCAAAGTTGAGATTTTTCAAATGGAATGTCTCAAATTTTATTGCATATTTGGATAAACCAATTCAAAAGAAGAAAATTGATATAATATACTATGGGGTTTTGGTAATGAGCTACTGAGATGAGAGATATAAGGTGTTTTGTCTGGAAAAGCCCCCCACTTCGGCAACCGCTCAGTCCGCCGTTTTGAAATTTGGAGTGCTGAAATTTGTATAAAAAAAACCTACACACCTCAGCTTTTATTTTAATTCTTTCTTTTTCGAATTTTAATTTTATCTCATACAGTGTGGTCAAAAACGCAAATTGTAGTTTTCCTCAAAAATTTCAAATGCGTCACCCTGTATATTTGTGCAGGTTTGGATTCAGTTTTTTTATAAGCTTTTTTTTGATACTAGGGTTTTTACAGCTATTTCTTCAGTTATTAGCACATCTTTTATGGAACGGCATAATTCCCTAAAATATCGCATCATCCTTGGAAACAAATGAATTGTTGATTAGTTACAAACTGTCAAAATTAGCTTTGTGAGCATTATAGTAAAACCGTGTTTGAAAGTGAATCCTTCTACAGAAGAAATGGTGAATATGGTGTTCGTTTTGGGCGAAGTCCAAAGATATATGTAGTTTCCTAGCATCTCGCATTTATAGGCAACGGTACCCTAATATGCGACGTCCAAGGTCGGAAACATTTTCCACACTACGAGAACGTTTTGAATCAAGTGAAGCAGTTGAATATAGTAAAAAATGTGTAAATAATCCAAGTGCCACCAATGTGACAAATCAATTGGAGGTTCTATTAAAGTTGCAGGAAAATCCCCATTTAAGTGTACGGCAAATGGGAGCAGAAACTGATATATGCAGAACTTCTGTCCAAAGGACTATTTACAAGCATAGGTACCATCCGTATCACCTATGCTTGCATCAAGGCCTTCGTCCTCAGGATTACGCAGGTCGAATGGAGTTTAGTAAAATAATGCTAAATAATGTGAGTGAAGGCACTACTTTCCTGGATAAGGTTCTTTTTAGCGATGAGACAACTTTTAACAGCATAGGCGTTATCAGCAGGCATAACATGCACCACTATCCGACGGAAAACCCTTATTTCGTTAGCCAAGTAGATTTCCAAAATAAATGGAGCTTGAATGTTTGGGGAGGTATTATTGGCAGACAAGTTATCGTGCCTTTCTTTTTCGACAACAGATTAACAGGTACAGAATACTTGAATTTCTTGATCGAGCATTTGCCTTTGCTTTTGGAGGATGTCAACCTGCAAACTCGGATGCATATGTACTTCCAACATGACTGCGCACCTGCGCATTATCATAATCGTGTGCGTAACTATTTGGACACCTGGAGTAACAATCGTTGGATCGGTCGTGATAAGCCTATATCTTGGCCTCCTAGATCACCAGGAAGGAGAGGATGCTTTTCTGAATATAAGGGAACACATGCTGAGGGATGTGCAACGGTCATTTATCCAAAGACTACGGCTGTGTATTCAACATGGTGGAGCTATTTTCGAGCAGTTTTTGTAGATTTGTAGATTAGGTTAAGAGTAGTGATAGTTGTTTGTTTATGTTGTTGTTATAGTTGTTTTTCTCTATTACGCTTGAAGCTGATTTATACTGTTCTGATTGTTATAAGTTTTTGCGTCAAATGCGTCTTAGTGGCAATATGGAACTAGCCCACTGTTTGTCTTTTGTCTCCATGGATGATTTTTTTTTCTTAATTTTGATGTGTTGTGTTCTATTAAAAGTTTAATAACTTAAAATCTAGTGATTTTATCTGAATCAAACCTTATACCAAAAAAAGCTTATAAAAAACTGAATTCAAACTTGCACAACTATACAGGGTGATGTGTTTGAAATTTTTGAGAAAAAGTACAATTCGCATTTTTGACCACCCCGTATTAGCAAAAATGAAAATTCGAAAAAGCAACAAATAAGATAAAAGCTGAGGTAATTTTTTTTGATACCAAATTCGGCACTCCAAATTTCAAAATGGCGGATTGAGGGGTTGCCGAAGTGAACGGTTTTTCTGGACAAAACACCTTACATCTCAGTAGCTAATTATCAAAACCTCATAGTATTACAGCAATCTTCTTCTTTTGAATTGGTTTATTCAAATGTGCAATAAAATTTGAGGCATTCCATTTAAAAAATCACAACTTTGATATGTAGGTGAAAAATCGGTCACCCTGTATAATTGCCAATCTTTTACAAATGTGCCCTCAAATGTCATGTATAACATCCCATTAATAGATTTTCCTAAAATGTATTTGTTTATTTGGAATATTCCGTCCAAACATGGATGGGCCACCCTGTATATTATATCGAATTGCTTCGTTTGAAGAGACCTATCCATATCTGCAAAAATAAAGCGGGACTCTGAATTTAAAAAAATTAATGTTTGGGCCTCCTCTATATTATATAAAAATACTTTTACAGCTAGGAGCGTAATGTTGAGTACAATTTTTGTATTCAACTTTTGATCCCGTAATAAACTATTTTTAAACCTTCTAGGATGGCACGTGGAAGAACGAGAACAAGGAATGCGTGAAATGCGAATGCGATCCTTACGGTACGGAGCCTTCGAAATGGTGCAACAAAGAAACGGGAAATTGTCCCTGCAAGGTTGGCGTTACTGGGCGATCGTGCGATCTCTGCGCAACAGGCTATTACGGAACCGTTCAAACTGGATGCAGAGGTTCGTACCATCCATCCTACTATAAACCAATGTATTCATCATTCAAAGCAAGACGTGTAATTTTATAATACAGTGAAATTGTAGGCTAGCATTCGTGAGAGTTATTTTGAGACTCTCTTTTCCATAATCAGGTTTGTTGGATGTCCCTTAACATAAATCGAAAGGATGCCATATGAACCCGGTACAAATGCCTTTGAACTTATTTTAAAGAAATTACAAAAGGTTGTTTTTTTGCTATGGGCAATTTAATTTTTAGGATAAACTAATGAAAATCGATATGACAAACAATATAGAGGGTGATTCAGAAAATCGTGGCTATATTTCTGGAGTAGAAAATAGCTCCAAAATGTATAAACACCACTCTTGAAATACCCCCTTACCTTAAAGTTTCAATTTCAAGATCGAAAAAAAATATACATTCGTAGTGTCAAGATATTTGCTTGAAATTGTATACTTGTACTACTAACTACATAGCTATATTAGCTATACATGCGCCTGAGACTATATTAGTGGCGTAGAAATTGGGAGATTTTGGCCCCTACAAAAGAATAAAGAACATTATTTTGTATTACCATAGACTGTTGAGTGCAAAGTTAACAAGGTTCATTGTGGGCTTCCAGAACTATGGTCGGAATATGGTGGGGCCTTAAGCCCAAAGTGGTGCACAGGCTCTATACGACGATAGTACGTCCATCTCTTTTGTATTGCATTGGAACCGAGATAAAAAAGGCCAAACTCAACAAAATTTAATGTCTGGCTTGTACCAGTATTACAAGCGCAGGGGTGCGTTTGTAAATCACTTGGTAATGTAATACCGTACACAGTAATGGAATGTAGATTGACATATACTAAGTGACATATAAATCCGAATACCCAGTTTAAATGGTTTTATTTTAATAAAATTTTGTATAAGTACTTAATGAAGCATAATAAGTAAATGATAAAAATTTCAAAATGATTGCACTGCTTTAAAGCCCTTTGACCTTTAATAATGTGTGGATGTACCCTGATGTGCTACGCATTCTCCAACGCGCCCAGGCATGCTTCTGATCAGGTGGTCAATGCCCTCCTGTGGTATCTGATTCCAAGTAACAATCATTAATATGATTTGTAGGCTCTCTCCAAACCATTGGGACAGCAAAGCGCATAGACCATTTTTTGCCATTTAACCAGCTCCTCAGACTTGAAGCACATGTATTACAGCAGATGTGGGGTGCCCACTGTTTGTCTTGATCACCTAGTTTACAAACGAAATAAAGCTGATATGCCTTTGTTATTAGTGACCGTCTCTGAGACGCAAAAGTCACATCACCACACACGTAACAAAACTGATCTGGATTGTTTACACACTTTCGAGACATCTTGCATGAACGCTGTCAGCCAACTGAGGAAAAAATGGCTAATATAAAACAATATAATGTACACGTATGTATAACGTAACACAATCATCTCGATTACATCATCTTTCCTTGCCGAATATAAAAATGTAGCACGTGCAGTCTTGTGAATTACAGTATATTAACACTGTCACAGCAGGAACACATATAATTACCGTATCTCTAAAACTTGAACTAATATTGAAAAAATAAGTTTCATTTCGGTTTTAGCACATTAAAAATAGTAATATTTTGTTGATTTTATTTAGGATATTTTTTGGCTGTTGATCAGTGTTACCTTTCGGCAGCTTTATTCTTTGTGCAGAAATTCAAAATTAAGTTTGATCAACAAGATTTGGTTGTATAAAATGGTCTTGTCAAGACGCAAATGCAGAGAGTGCAAGTCCTGCAAAACAGAACCCTACGAACAATCACTAACGCCCCTTGGTACGTGTCAAATGAGGCCATTCACAGAGATCTTGATATCCCATATCTAAAGGATTATGTAAAACAACAGGCCCAGCGGCGTTATAATCAAGCCGACTCGCACAGCAACCCTCTGTTGCGTGATTCAGTAGACTTCACAGTCGAGCCAAATTATTTCAGTATACAAAACCGACCAAAATTATTTTTTGGAGTTACAAAATTATTCGAGTAGTCAAAGCAATAATGCTTAAGCTGTTTCAAATGATTTACTTCTTTTCTTTGCACTATTTCTTCCTTCTTTCCCTTTTCCCCGTTAAACATGTTTGGTATCTGGGTAGCCAGACCTGACAGACTAACAGACCGACGGGACTTTTAACCTAAGAGCAAAGGTCCACCGAACCGCTCTGACGAACAATGTATACGAATAGTAATAGTAGTAAGAATGACAATCTTCTCTGACAGCCAAGCTCCGATGATTGAACCAAGAAGGCTCTGGATAGCTTAGCAGCGAGGCATCCGGAATCGTTAGTGTGGGTACCGGAGCACGCTAGGATTAAAGTGTAATGATATGGCGGACGTTTTATTCGTTTTATTTCCATATGCAAAACTTAAAAGACATCCCTCGTATGTGACCTACGCGTAGGCTCTTCATGGTGATCGGCATGCCTCTTTATTTATTATTACCACATTTGTCTGAATCACAATGTAGACTTGGAATCAGAACGAAAGTGACTATATTTATATTATTTTCACTAAAAATATACAAGGTGTTCGATTTACAAAAATGAGACACTATTCGATTGCACTTTTCTGTATACAAATGAAACATTGCCAAAAGTTAGTCCCTATGAGTTTTCTACATAACGTTTTTTTTTCTGAACAGTGATATAAAAAAGGTCGATGGGTATCAGTTTATAGCGAGACACTCCGTACATGATGTAGTTCCACATCAATTTATCAATGATCTCTCTCAAAGAGCCCTGAATCACAAAATTTATTCATACTACCAATATTTCGATTTTCACATATATATTTATGGTATATTGACTGTACCATTACATTCACTAACATTAAAGCAGGAAAGGAACTACCTATCTATACGACGATCGAATTTGTCTGCAGGAAAAACTGCGTGACAAGGTACTTGTACGCCATATATTGGACATGATTGCTATATCTGTACGACGTTTTCTCGATGTATGAGATCGTACTAAGTTGGGAATTTTCATTTTATAGTATAGTCCAATAATCAAAAATATCGAGTTCGTTTAAAACAGCAAAATTGTAATTTTGACGGAATATCAATGTAGTCCAGGAAGTGACTTCGCATATGCTCGGAAAAATATTCTGATTTGGTTTTTTTGCATAACCTTATTTAATCAATTTTTTCAACAGACTTCAAAAATTGTTTTTTTTTTGCCGCTGGAAATTTTTTTGGGTTTTTTTGGGTCCTGATGATTCATATGAACTTTTTTCTAAAATTTATGTTGTTCGAGAGATATAAGAAGATTGATATTTGGAAAAATATTCTATTTTCGACCCTGAAGAACAACCTGGAAAATTGAAATGAAGCGCTCGAGTTACGCCACTGGAAACGCTGAGGTTTCAAGGAGAAATCTGCAGTATAAGCTTTTTTTGTAGAGATTTACACTTTGCTCACGCACAGGCATCAATGTAATTTTATATAATAAAAAGAAATTTCGTCTTCCGTCTTATCTGGCGCTCAACGAGCGAGGATTGATCCAGAATAAGGTTCCCATCAATTATAGAAATATGAGATATTGTTTATTGTTATAGAAGTTGACGATTTTAGGAAGTTGAGACTTTGCTCTATCTCCCTACAATATCGCAATTTTTTCTACGCATTTTTGTAGACGGTATTCCACTTTTTCTATGCCAATGTTGAAGCACCGTCACCAACACATTAAGGAAGCTTTTTACCTCCTCTTTTACTTCATCATCCCTCGGGAAGTATTGGCAACTCAAACGTTCCTTTAACTTCAAGTTTCAGTTTTCCAAGTTTTAGGAATATTGACTTCCTGTAACTGCGACCTTATAGATATAATGGTATCAAGAATAGTTTCTCCGGATTTCTCGTGGATCCAATATGTTATAAGGTATATCTATGCACTTCTGTTGGTAGACATTCATATTCAATTATTCCAAAGTAGATGTGGTCTACTCGCCATTGGACAACCAAGCATGAAACATCTGTTCATGGTTGGCCGTCTTTGATCGGCAGCATGTTTAAAAATAATCGAATTACAAAGAATGCTCAATTATACATTCTGCATATCATGTTCAGTGAAACTAATGCCACAAATTGCATGTTGTAATGCCGAGTGTTTTATTCATTTTGCAGAATGCGATCCGTGCGACAAGAAAGGTCATATATGCGATCCGAACAATGGCGCCTGTGTATGTCCACCCCTTACCACAGGGACGGACTGCGAGAATTGTGGAGAGGATTCGTGGGGATACGAAGATAATGTTGGATGCAAGGTAAGATGAGGTTTTAATTACTACAGAAATTTGTATAACAAATGAAAGTTGATTTAATGGATTCATGGATTGATTGATGGATCGGTGGATTAATGAGTTTGATAGATAAAAGAATCAAAAGATAGATTAGTGAATTGTTTGATCGATGATGGATGGATCGGTGGATACTGACTCACGGATTGATACATGGATTCATGAATTAATGGATTGATTTATTGATTGGGCTGATGGATTGCTCTATGAATTGTTGTATCGGTGGACGTTTAGATCGATCGATACATTAATCGGTAAAATGATCAGTTTGATGAACCGAAGAACTGCTAGATGCATAAATTGATTGACGGATCGGTGGATTGATGTTTTGATTGATGGATCGGTGGAATAATGGATTGATGATGGATCAATAGACATTTGGATTTGGATGAATTGATTGATGAATCATTGAAATGATGAAAATAGCGGGTCGAAGAATTGATGGATTAATAGATTGAGTGATGGTTTGATTTATAGAATGGAAATCATTTTAATCGATGAATTGAAGAATTGATTGATAGATCGATGGATCGATAATTTTGATTGATAGGAGAGTTGGTGGGTACATTGATGGATCGGTGGATTCATGTATCGGTTAATGGATCGGTAGACATTTGGATTTGGATGAATCAATAAATGAATCATTGAGTTAATGAAAATATTGAGCCGAATAATTAATGGATTCATAGGTTGAGTGATGATTTGATTGATAGAATTCTAGGTATTCAAATTGATGAATTCATGAATTGATCGATGGATCGGTAGATCAGTGAGTCTGATGGATAGACTGAATGATTGATGCACTGATAAATGAACTCGTAAATGTATTGATAAATCCGTGGATTGATGGGATTGTTGGATCGAAGTACTGGTGGATTCGTGGATCAACCAGTTGGTGCCTTAATTGATGGATTGGATAGAATGGAGTGTTGGATGATATATGGATTAATTTATGGATCGCTGGATGGATTCACTTATTATCTCTTGAATGGTGGTTTGATAAAATTCATGGATTGGTGAATCTTTCATTGGTGGGTTGATTGACTGATGAATAAATGGATTGATGAATTGAATGATAGTTGATTGAATCGATATGTTTTTTCGTGCAGGCATGCAATTGTTCATCTACTGGCAGCCAAGATCCCCAATGTGATCAACTTGAGGGGACCTGTACCTGCAAGGAGGGCTATGAAGGGGATCAATGTGACAGCTGTAGTTTCGGGTACTATGGGTACCCTGACTGCCAGAGATGTGAGTGTGATCCCACAGGAACAAAAGAGGAAGAATGTCGCAGGGGCTTGTGTGGTTGTGAAGAAGATGGGAGCTGTCGATGCAAGGTAAGAAGGAAGTTAATTAAACCTATATTTTTTTAAATCTAGCTTCCTTTCTATGCCAAATAACAGCTTTCCTGATGTTCAACAATCAAATTCTCCAAAATGTTGAATCCCTCTTTGGTTTAAAAATTTCCAGTGAAAATAATCTGACAGGTTAACAGTATATTTTTCAGTGGTATTCTAATTTCAGGCGAATGTCGAAGGTAAACTGTGCAACAAATGCAAAGACAAAACTTACGGTCTGACCAAAGAAAACCCCAAAGGGTGCACGAACTGTTTTTGCTTCGAACGAAGTGATATCTGCGAAGAAGCGCCTGTCAACTGGGACAAAATCAGATACGAAAAATACTCTGATCCAGATGTCAATGACGAGGTAATTTTTCCTTAACACTACGCAAGGTTTGATTCACGAATACTACAGAAATCGAATAATAAGGAAGATTGCTCGGGTACCTTTCAAACTGTCATTTCCCATAAAAGTGTTTACGAGTAGATATTCTTGAATCAGATCTCATACTGCATACCTTGCTATTACTACCCGCCGAATTACTAATCTGTTATCTGGAAGGTAGCAGAAGACATCCTGATGCTACCTGAAAAATTTCTAGGTGACCTAACCACCTCTTACGGCGGCTATCTGACTGTCAAAGTGACAGGAGGAACGTTCACCGTGTACCTGCAGGGAAACGGGGTGCAAATGCAAACCGCAGCTAGCAAGGAGCTGCATCTCCTTGAGACCAGCAGATGGCATGTGGTCAAGGAGAATCCGTATTTTCCGAGGATGTGTAAAGAAGAGATGACCAGAGGATGTTTCATGGCTGTCTTGCAAAAAGTTACCAGGTTTACCATTGAAGCACCTCACAGGTAAACCTTTTGAATTGGGCAGTTTCTTAATTCTTAACATTCGCTAAATTTGCATCATAAGTGAATTACATACAAAATTCGCAAAAATCAAAATTTGCAAAAAGTCACAAACCTCTCCAATTCTCACATCTTACAGATTTAACAAAATTAACAAAATCCCCAATATTCGAAGAATTCGCGATATTCGCAAAACACAATATTTACAAAATTTCCTATATTCTCTAAATTCTCTTTATTCTTAAAATTTCATCAAACTTTTTTCGATTTATTTCTCAACATTGTCTCAAAACGTCTAAAACATATACACACTACACTAATCTACCAAATAATTGTGCACGGTGCCCATAAATATTCAAATTGTTAGCAACTGGACAATAGCGAGCCTGACCTTCAATAATGCTCAATGTTTTTCTATTTACATTAGGAGCAATGCTATATTAACTACTACACTTGCTGTTTTTATTCGCTCCAACACAGACACGAAATATTGGTAAAGACCACACATAAAAATATCAACCAAGGATCACCAGGAAGATTAACAAAATATACAGGGTGACTTCGAAGTTGAGTCATTTATTTTAACAGTGAGTAGATCTGATCAAAAGAAATGTTTTTTTCCTTTAACATTTTTCTGGTAAAATTAAAATAACAAAGTTATAGCCCTTTAGAAGTTTGAGTACCGCCCTGTCTCAATAATAATATTATGTGCTCGTGTTTGGCGACAACGGATATATCGGTTCATCGCATCGGAAACAAAAAAGCTAAAGAATTTGAAACGTTTATCACGATGTTTTTCGTCAGTCGGTAACGCGTGAGTGAATAGTGGTGTTTGTTGCGTGACTCAAACGAAATGAAAAATGGCACATGTTTACGAAGATGCTGAACTTGTGGACATGATTCTTATTTACGGGGGGGGAGTCTTTACAAAATGCTGCCGCGGCATCACAAATTTGTGCGAATCGGTTTCCCAATCGAGTGCAACCAACCCCTCGTGCCTTTGTTAATATAGTACAAAGGGCTCGTAAATCAGGTGACTTAAGACCTCACAGCTCATTTTTTTTTTTTATTTAACACACATATTTTGGTTTATCTTCCTTCTACAATCATTATCTGAAAATTAATGACTCAACTTCAAAGTCACCCTGTATATTGCCACATCTGTTTGCAGCTGCAGATCCCACACGGAAGAGATTGCAGAAAATTAATTCTGGAAATACTTTTTTAACTTCTAATGTCAAAAATTAGGTCAAGCTAAAAAAAGGTTTTTAGGAGATTCCTGAATTTTCAGTTTGAATATGGAGGAAAACTCTAAAAAGGATGGATCTGGTGAGGGAGTGGAGAGTGTGGTCTCACTGAGTGAAAAGGGATTTTGTACAGAGGAAGTTTTGAAACTAAAAGATTATACCATTTCGATTCAAGAGAAATTATTAAAAGAATTGTACGAAACGATAGACCAATTAAACAAAAAAATTGGGAAGATGCAACAGCCCTCACAAGAAGCAATTACAACTTACGCTGATATGGTTAAAGCTTCGGGGCCTTCAACCGCTAATTCGCCTACAACAATGGTAGAATATAAGCAGCAATTCTTACCATTGCAAACACGTACATCAAAAAAACAATCACCAGTATTAAAACCCACAAATACAGTCATTGTTAAACCTAATAACCAACAAGAGTGTAATAACACAAAGAAAGACATCGCAAAATTTGTGAATCCTACCAGTTTGAAAATTGCTATTGAAAAAGTTTATGAATTGAAGGATGGTGGGGTGAAAATCCAATGTAAAACAAAAGATGATAACGCGAAGCTACATAAAGAAATAAAATCAAAAATGCCAGAAACATATACAGTGAAAGCTTCAGAGATAAGTAAAAAACCACAAATCAAAGTTATTGGATTTTGTCAAGAGTATGCAGAAGACGAACTAATAAATATTATAAAATCACAAAATGAATCTTCTCAAGAAAATTCACATATGAGAGTAATTACAGTCAAGAAAATGAAAACTAAATATCAAGCAATTTTAGAAGTGGATGCTCTGACTTTTAAGTGTGTTATGACTCAGGGTGTTATTTTTATTGACATGTCTGTGTGCTCTGTTTTCAAGTACATCAATGTTTTGCGATGCTATAAATGTACCGGATTTAACCACACAGCTAAATACAAAATCAGGAAGATGTATTACTTGTGGATTAGAAAGACATTCAACAGAAAACTGTAGTACCAGTGAAATGTACAAATGCTGTAAAAATTTTAAAAGTGCAAACCAGGATTTTAATCTCGGATTACCTATTAATCATGGACCATTTGACAAAAATTGTGAAGTATATAAAAGGAAAATCGAGCGTCAGAGGGAAAAAAATAGTTATGCAAATGAATAGCAACTACTAAGCCCATATTTGCAAGACGTGGCTAAATCTGTAAGTGATGAATATAACTCAATATACCATTTAAACATACAAGGAGTCCTGAATAATATAGATGAAGTTCAACAGTTTTTAAGATGGAGAAAACCACTTGTATTATGTCTTACCGAAACACATGCTACAGAAGACATCACTGATGGTGAATTACAAATTACTAATTATAAAATCTACAGATGCAACTCCAACTCCAGACATACTGGAAGTGTAGTGATTTATGTTTACCACAAAATACAGATCACATTATTCGATTGTACTAGTTTAGACTATGCATACTGGTATACACATATACAGTTCAAATTATTTGGGAAACGTTATGATCTTTGTACTTTTTACCGTTCACCAAACAGTGATGCGGATACATTTTTAACGTTTTTTGAAGAAACATGCGAAGAAATGTGGAATTTTAGAAACAATATAATACTTTTAGGTGATTTTAATTTAAATTATTATGGTAAAAGCATGAAAACAAGAAAATTGAAAGATACCATAAATAACTATGGGTTCAAGCAAAAAATTGAAGAGTGTACCAGAATAACATCATTATCGGAGACTTTGTTAGATCTTGTTATAGTAAATTTCGAATGTGCAGGGATTAAAGCTGTACATACACCTAAAGTTTGTGACCACAGTTGGACAATGCTGCCCTTGGTAGGGCATTTTTCTGATACAAAAATTAAGAAAATCGTAAATACTATTAAGTACGAAAAACTTGAACGAGAACTTGCTGGCTGCTATTGGAATTTTGGTGAGAATGTGGAAAAAACATATTACAACATAATAGGAAATATAAAAACTTGTTTAGATCTTGCAACTGATAAAAATGTGATTTGCTCGACAAAAAATACACCCTGGTATAACAAAAATATTAAGGCAGCTCAAAATTTGAGAGACAAATAATACAATAAATGTATATTCACAAAATGAAATGATGATTGGGAGGTATATAAAACTCTTAGGAATAAATGTGTATATGTAATTAGAGAAGAAAAAAGGAAATTCTACGATAAACAAATCGATAATAACAAGTGCGACAGTGTAAAGATGTGGAAGACTTTAAAAAGACTGATCAATTCGAAGCCGCATGATTGTGTAAATCAAGTTCAACTCGAAAACGGTATCGAAACAAATTCTTTGGTGATTGCAGACAAAATAAATGAAAATTTTGTGGAAAGTATTGTTGATATTGTGGGTACTGCCAATACTGCACCTGACTATATGAAAATCAGTTTCCAAGGGGAAATGTTGCATACACTTTCAATATTTCACAGTGTATCATTGAATTATCTAAGAAAAAAGTAAACAGTTTAAAATCAAATAACAACTGTGCCGAAATCACTACTAAAAACGTGCTGAAAAACTGTTTCGAAATTTTGGGATATCCTGTATTAAATTGGATAAATTGTTCACTGAGAAGCAGTTCTTTTCCTGAAGATTTGAAATGCTCTACAATAACACCAGTTCCCAAAATAAAAAATTCTAAAAGATGCAGCGATATGACACCAGTAAATGTGTTACCAGACATTGAAAAATTATTAGAGTGTATAGTGCATGACCAATTAATGCAGTTTATAGAAGAAAACCAAATTTTAGTGGAGGCGCAAGCAGGCTTTCGAAAAAAATATTCCACAGAAACGGCTTTCCAGTTGGTAACTGAGAATTGGAGAAGAGCCATAGACTCAGAAGAAGTTGTTATAGCAGTATTTTTGAATTTGAAGAGGGTATTTGAAACGATTGATAGAGATATTTTGTTAGGTAAATTGAAGGCATATGGTATAACAGGGAGTGCTTTAGATTGGTTTTAGAAATTATTTGTCTAAAAGGATGCAAGTTACAAAAGTTAATGACACTATTTCATCAAAAATTGAAAATACGTTGGGTGTTCCACAGGGCAGTATCCTGGGACCACTTTTTTTTATTTTATACATCAATAATTTACCTGCCATAGTCAGAAAAAGCAAAATTCAGATTTTTGCCGTTGACACTATGATTTATATAAGTACTAAAAATATTCAGTCTGCTATCTCTTATATAAATAAAGACTTGAAACTTGTCTCAAAATGGTTAGCATCTAACAGACTAAAACTAAATACAAGTAAAACGAAAGCCTTGTTAATCGGAAAAAAATAATGTACAAATGTTCAACTGAATATTGATGGTGAAGATATTGAATTCGTAGAAAATTTTAAATACCTGGGGGTTTTTGTTGACTCTCGATTAATTTTTGATATTCATTATGAAAAAGTTATAAATAAGATTAGTAGTAAAGTGGGATATTTATCGAGAGTTTCTGGTTGTCTGAGTTCATAAGCAGAAAAATTATCTATAATACCATCATTCTTCCAAATTTCTTGTACTGTTGGACTATTCTAAATTTAGCAAATAATTCTATTTTTGAAAGACTGCAAATTTTACAAAATAAATGCATGTTAATAATACTAAATAAAGATAAATATACTCCAATTAGGCAAATGCTTAGCAAATTAAAATGGCTCAATGTAAAATTATTTATCAAATATCTTGTAATGATATTCATTTATAAACTAAAAAATAATATATTTCCATCAAGTCTAACTAATTTAACATCATCAAATGTCGACCATCATTTACATAATACTAGAAATAAAGATGACTTCCATTTAATGACCAAAAATGCTACAAATCTGTATTCCATCAAGGGTTGATTGAATATAATAAATTATACTCAGAGATAAAAGACCAGAAAACTTTGACAAAATTTAAAGTGAAATTGAGAAATCACTTGTTAAATCTACAATTATAGGTTGCACAGCATTTACATCATACACCATATGGCTTGAATTTACTAGTCCTAAGTTGTTTACAATTATTCTGTTTATGTAGCCAAATGTGCTAAATAACTCTTTCTACTACTACTACTACTACTACACCTTGTGCTCATTTTTTTGCACTAGCCTGTATTTGATTCTTCTTTTATAGGATAACAGAAGTACTCCTGGACAAAGCCAAATTCAACATATCCACGTATCCAGTCACCCACACTATAGAGAAGTGTCAATGTCCAGAAGAATACAGCGGTCTATCATGTCAAGAGCCCAACGAAGAGTATCACAAGTATTTCCCGACTGATTCGGGAAATCATTGGATTGATCTGGTTATCGGCAAGGCGAAATCTTGTTCTTGCAATGGAAGGTCGAAGCAGTGTGATCCTATAAGTGGAGATTGTAAGGTAAGTTTAATGCCTATTGAGAAATCTTTTTTAGAGACAGATCATATTAAACGCCCTGCATTATCCATATATAAAAAACGCACTCACTATCATCGTCATATCTGCAAAACGCATTCGCTATATTTTCAAAGCACATCCATCATAATTCAAAGAACATCCACCATATTTGCAACTACTATCACTATATTATCATGCTTTCGCCACAAATTTCAAAGAACATTCATTATATTTGTTAATTTCATTCACCGCGTCCTTACCGGATTTACCAATCACATTCACCATACTTTCAAATATAGTCAATCGGATTTACAATTTATATTTGCCAAACTACTTCACCATATTCGCAAGTATTCACCACAAATGACAAAGAGCATTTCCCATATTTGTTGCCATACAGGGTGTCCGAAAAGTATGGACACCCAAATGTCTCGGAAACTAAGGGTGTTAGAAAAAAAGTTTTAGGAAATCAAATGGCGCATTGGTAACTTTGGATTTGAAGGTCGTTTCAAAGGCAAGTTGATTTTTTCAAATGCGAACCCTCATTTTTATAGAAATTCAAAATAAATTCCTTTTCAACAGTTTTAAACCCATAAGTTATTTCAAGATCAAATTACCTATTGCCGTTGAGCGTCCTGCAATGTTTGCGTTAAAAGTTGTACTTTAATATTCTTCTTTTTCCAACTATCCGCTGCTTCAACAAGGAGCAACAGTTGATCTTGAAACAACCTCTAGATATAATTTTAGCCCCTATAATATGTATACTTTTGAAAAGGAAATTTATTTGGCTTGCTATTTCTACTATAAAAAATGGGGATTTCTATTTGAAAAAACAACTTGCGTTTGAAACGACCTTATAGGTGAACGTCAAAGTAAAATCTAAAGTCACCGCTAGATGCGCCATTTGAGTCCCCTTAGTTTGTGAGATATTTGTGTGTGTCTATACTTTTCGGACACCCAAGTTTTCCTGACAACCACACAGACTAGAGAAATAGTATAACCAAACTGATCCAACAAAATGTAACAATTTTTCAATAATTTATTTATTTACCATTTGTTTTTAGAATTGCCAGGAGAACACGACAGGTCCCCACTGCGAACTGTGTGACATTGGTTTCTATATGAGCAGAAGCTATGCTTGTGAGCCGTGTCTTTGCCCAACGGCTAATCAGAACAATGCAGAGAGTTGCACGCCTCAAACTGATGGGTTTATTTGTAAATGCAAAACAGGTACGCCAAAATAAAGTACGAAATTGATTTGTCGACAACACCGTAAACAGAAACGTGTTATTAGTCTGTCATACATGGTAACCAGAGGAAGATTCGTCTGCCTAAGCATGTTTGACAGATAATTTCCAAACTGCTTTTGGATTTTATTTATAGGTTTTGCGTTTCCAGGTTACAAAGGTCAACATTGCAACGAATGCGACTTAGGATATTTCAACAAAATGGGTAACAAGACTGATTCTGTGACATGCGCGGCTTGCAACTGCAATATTCACGGAGTTCTGAACGGAGATACGACATGCGACGAATTTGGAAGGTGCCGATGTGCCGCAGGTTTTAAAGGTGACAGATGCGACCAGTGCGAAGAGGACAGACAGTATATAAGAGACGGAAAGTGTACGCGTAAGTATATCCTTTGCTGCACATGCCAATTGACGAGGAAATATTTAGGCCCACATTTATGGTCGACCCTAGAGGGCTGAGTTTCTATTAAGAGTTGATCAATCGTTGGATTACGAATAGTGACTCACCCTCAAGTAGAGATTCAACATTTGTGCTTTACAGATACAACAAATCCTCAAAACTCTAAAAATTGTCAGAATCATGAAAATCCATGAATTTCCGAAATTTTTATAATTCCCAGTTTCCAACATTTTAAAAATTGTCAAAATTGTCAGAGTTCAAAATTTACAAAGTTTTCAAAATATTAAAGATATTCAAAATTTTCAGAATATGAACATTTTTTAAATTTACAAAATTTTCAATCATCAAAATGTTCGATGATTTCAAAATTTTAAAATTTTTCAAGCTTTTTAGTTTATTCAGCTTTGAAAATTTCGAAAATCTTCAAAATTTGGAAAATTCTAGAACATATTTAAAATTATGAATATTTTTAAAATGTTAGAAATTATAAAATTTTTGAAAATTGAGATGTTTCAGAATCTTGAAAATTCTGAAAATACAGAAAGATTATTAATATTAATTTTGATATTATACCTTTTTAAAATATTCCGAATACCTTGAAAATCTTGAAAATTTTCAATATGTACATATTTCTGAAATTTTCGATACAATAACTGTGAAAATTTTGAATATATGTATTGGTAATTTTGAAAACCTTTAATAATAATAATAATAATAATAATAATAATAATAATAATAATAATAATAATAATAATAATAATATTTATTCACTCAATGTACAAAGATAACAAACAATATGAGTAAATAAATATAAAATCAAAACAGGCCCAATAGAAGGCATCGCCTGTACATAGACCAGTAATTCAAGTTGAAACTGTAGAATGCAAATGACAAAAAAGGACAAAAATTAGCTACAGTAGATTATGTATTTAGTTGCTGTTCGTATTTATGAGTTTATGAATTTCAGTCCTAGATATAGAATGTAGCCACTTTTTTAAATTTCTTTTGAAACAATTTCCGAAACGTAAATCTTTTAAGTCTTTAGGTATAATTTCATAAAATTTAGGCGCTAAATAGAGATATGATCGCTGCATTATAGATTTATGCGGTTGAGGAACTACTGTGCCACGAATTTTGTACCTGGTATAATGATTATGTTTAATTTTTTGGTCGGTGTTTACAAATTTATGGTAGTGAGTGATACTGTGTAAGAAATAAAGCTGTCTTATATCATACATTCGAACATCTGCGTATAATTTGTCAGTGGGATAAAGTTTCGGTTTTTAAATATCATTTTTAGAATACTTTTTTGATAAACGTCTAAATTATAGATATGTGCGGAACATGCAGCTCCCCATGCTAATATACCTTATGTGAGATGAGGGTCCATCAGTGCATGGTATAATGTTCGAAGATATCTTTCTGTTAATATATTCCCAAGGTATTTAATTTTGTAGGATACAAATCTAACTTTCTTTAAAATATAATTGACATGGATGTCCCATCGTAAGTGAGGATCCAAGACCACTCCAAGGTATTTTATGTTGGGCACTCTATTAATTTGCATTTTTTGATCAATGATATTGAAGGAGAAATTTGTGTAATTTGGCAGATGTCTAGCATAAGATCCAAATGGTAAAAAATTATTAATTTTCTACTGTTAAACCACCGAATAATTTTGATAAAATCATTTTCAATTACATTTTTCAGATCAGACCAGTCAGTGCTTTCATATAATATTGCAGTATCATCTGCAAAACTAGTTATTTTGCCAACACGATTAATTTGGAAAATATCATTTAAATATATATTGAATAACAGCGGACCTAAGACAGTTCCTTGTGGGATACCACACTCAATATACATTTCTTTACTAAATGATCCTGATATCTGCACAGATTGTGGGCGATTTGACAAATAACTTTCGATCAGTGAGTACGCGTTTCCTCTGAAACCAATTCTCTCCAATGCTTCTAATAATAATTTGTGATTAACTGTGTCGAAAGCTTTCTTTAAATCAACAAAAATGCAGATTGAAGGGATTCTGTTATCAATATTTTGATGTATTTGATTTACAATTTTAGTTATTGCGTCCGATGATCGCATTTATATAATTGTTTTTTTTTTTTTTTGGAAAGTTTCTAAATTTTGGAAGAATTGAAAATTTTGTAAATTCTGCAGACTTTAACAATTTAGAAAATTTCAAATCTTCTGAAATTCTTGAAAACCTACTACAAGGTTCTTGTATGTGTAAAGTGCAAAGGTTGAATCGCCTTTTGAGGGTAACTCAACTCAACAATATTTGTTTGAAATCCTGGAATTAATCGCCACTATAAGTGTGGGACTAAAAGACTATTTTTACTACAGCTTGCGACGAATGCACGCAACTCCTCTTCGATGACCTCGATGCTCTTTCAAAATCTCTCTTGGACGCCTCTGATCTATTCAAAGGCGGCCTGGCACCACCATGGAAGATCCTCGATACGCACATCCAAAATTACCAAAAACTCTCCGAAAAAATGTCACAACTCCATCGGAACGCCCAAGGAATTATTGACGATGCCGACATGGAAAGACTCGAAAGCGTGGTGCGTAATTTCGAAAGTAGAGTGACGGAAGCGAAACAGCTGGCAGATGGGAATATTGATAAAAGTGGTGCGGTGATATACAAGGCGAAGGAGGTCAGTAGGGCTGCCGATGGGTTGAGGCTAAGCTTACAGGAGGTGATTGAGGTGCTCAATGGGTTCGGAGGGAGTGACGTTGACGTCAGTGAAGCGCTCAATCAGGTCAGTAATAATTTTTTTAATGTTCGAATGCATAGTTTCTTCACTCAAGGTATGCTTAACTTTGTTGGTCACATTTTTGTAATTTCATTCTTCCATGGTTGTGTATTAGCTTTTTGTTTTATTACTATGAGGTAACTTGCCCCACATTTATATTTCAGGCTCAGAAGCTTCGTGACCAGATACAGAACATTGCTTCGATCATCAATAGTATCAGAGGAGAAAAGGTTTATCAGTACTGCTCAGCTGTTTCAGAAAGAGTCGATAGTACCTACAAAATGATTCAAAGTAAGTTTTTCACAAAGGTAGTAACTCATAATTTGCATCAAGAGACGCCTTGATCAGAAATTAAAAACAAAGTTTGTGACCAATATTCAAACACGTTAGTTTACACCCCCTATCAGTCTTCGAAGAAAATGCAAACTATCTAACACCTACCAGCACGGACCTAACGACGAATTATTGTTCTATCGTCAAATAGGCAACTGGCAAAATGGCTTATCGAAAACTGGGCCTATCATCAAATGACCCTACTGACAAACAAGCCTACCAAAAGACAAGCCTGCCGACACTGGGCCTACCAACAAATAGACCTACTAACAACTAGGCCTGTCGAAAAATGTACACTAGAAAAATGACCTATCGTCAACTGGGTCTACCAACAAATCTCCCTATCAACAAATAGACTTACTGGCAAAATGACCTACCTACAGCTGGGCCGACGGACGAATCTGCCTATTCTCAAATAGCCCTACTGGCAAAATTATCTTTCGACAAACAAGCCTACTGACTAATAGGCCTACTGACAAATAGACCTGCCAGGAACCAAAAATAACTTTGGAATAACTACTTCTCACATATTCACTTTGGCGGCGTTCTTAAGCTCAACAATTATACTAAGTGACATATAAATCCGAACACCCAGTTTAAATGGTTTTATTTTAATAAAAGTTGGTGAATGTATTTATCTTACTGTAAATAACAAGTGAAAAAATGTTCAGCCTTATCAGTTGGACATTCTGGTTTTTATACTGCTTTTTTTTAATTCACTAACGCTCTAAAAATGAATATTTCAGCAGCAGTAAAGAATCAACGTTGGCGGATTTTGGTTCTTGACATCCTTTACGATCGGTTACGATGCGTAGAGTACGGAGACCTGTACGATTTCGTCAACTTAGTGAGTTTGATAGGGGCCGTATAGTGGGACTTCGGGAAGCTGGACTTTCTTTCAGGGCAATTGCAGTTAGAGTGCAAAGAAGTGTAGACACTGTGGTTAGGTGTTGTCAGGCATGGCTTCGAGAATGCCGTACGCAAAGAGCAAGGGGCACTGGACGCCGCCGTAGAACAACAGACCGTGAAGATCGCCGCCTAAGATTATTGACCTTAAAGAATCGTTTCTCCACTACCAGGTCCATTGCAAATGACTGGTTTGCAGAACACGTAAGACCTATTGGCATGAGAAGTGTTTACCGACGAATGAGAAGTTTTGGCTTGTTTTCATACCGGCCACACTGGGTCCTCCCTTTAACTCGAGAACACCGACGTAATCGCCTTGAGTGGTGCAGACAACGGTCACTCTGGGATCAGGAATGGAACAGTATTGTCTTTAGTGACGAGTCTCGATTTTGTTTAGGCATGCACGATGGTCGTGCCAGGGTTAGAAGGCGACGTGGTGAAACGAGGAATCCACAGTTTTTTGTTGAAAGACATGTTCATCACACTGTTGGAGTTATGGTTTGGGGTGCTATAGCTTATGGTTCCAGGTCACCTTTAATCTTCATCAGAGGTAACATGAACGCGCAGCGTTATATGCACGAAGTTCTAGAGCCCCATCTTTTACCCTATCTTGACACCCTGGCAGATCCAACTTTCCAACAAGATAATGCCCGACCACATGTTGCAAGAGTCACAATAGACTTCTTTCAACATAATGATGTCACATTGTTACCATGGCCACCAAGATCTCCCGACTTATCCCCAATTGAGCACGTGTAGGATATGATGGGTAGGAGATTGCTCAATTTGCAACGTCCTCCTCAGACTCTAGAAGCACTTCGAGAGGAGTTGGTGGTTGCCTGGAATGAGATACCACAGGAGGACATTGACCACCTGATCAGAAGCTTGACTAGGCGCGTTGGAGAAAGCGTAGCACATCAGGGTGCATCCACACATTATTAAAGGTCAAAGGGCTTTAAAGCAGTGCAATCATTTTGAACTTTTTATCATTTACTTATTATGCTTCATTTATTAAAATAAAACCATTTAAACTGGGTGTTCGGATTTATATGTCACTTAGTATATATTTGCACGTGTCACATGTTTTATAAACTTTTTATTTGTAAAAATTTATTTTAATATAGCAAAATTACAATAATATTAGTTCACTTTATTTAAATTCCTGTATCATAATTTCTAGATGCAAGTCTTCCAAAAGATCTCTTGAAGAGCACAAACAAGAAACTGCACGACCTGATCAACATAACCGCTTACGTAGACGCCCAGGTCAAAGAAACAGAAGAGAAAAATCTAGCAAACGACATCAAATTGGGCAAAGTCCGAGAAAAAATAGAAAAACTGAAAAGCAAAAACGCAGATTTGGACAGTTCTCTAAAAGAAATCGAAGAAAAAGAGGCGGCTGCTAGTGATATGATTAAGCAGCTGGAAATCGTTTGTGATGATCTTGAACAAATTAGTTACATTCCAGAGATGAACGAGTTGGATGAGAAAGTGAAGAGGCAGAGGCAAATGCAGAATGATATTGAGGAGTTACATTTGCAAGCATTGGATCACGTTGAAGAACTCGAGCAGAAAATTGATAAATATCGCAGGTAAGGTGTTGTGGTGTTAATCGTTATCAGTATTACTACGTGTTCATTTAAATGGATATTTAATAAACACTCTTTTACAGTATGTTCAATTTCACGAGAGATGAATGGAGAAAGATCAATGCTAGTGGTTCGTACGAATCGATAACCAAAGGTATTTCGAAAGCAAGAAACGATGCCAGAATGTCACAAGAAGTTCTACGTGATGCTTACAAAATCATTGAACCCAGCAATACTGATACATTAGCGGACAAGGCGAATTTAGCAAAAGCTTTGTCAGACAGGCTTGAGCACAGAATCAAAAATTTCAAGGATATCTCTAAAAGTAAGTTAAAATCCACGAAGTTCTTGTTATAAGATTTATTCACCAACTATTTCGCCTAATCAACATCTAAAATTTCAGGTCCAAGAAAACTAGATTTGGAAATATTCAATCTTATTTAGCATTATTTGGGCAGCCATATAACTAATTTATTGTTGAATTTCAATGTATGGTTGCTTCACTAATGATTTTATTTTATCATGAACGAGAATGTGGATCTTCTTTACATATAGATAATATAGCATAGTTAAAAAGGCCCCAAAGTAGATCCCTGTGCTCTTCACTATAACGAATAAGATTAAAAATCTTTGTTTGCAGAACTAGCTCAAATCAAGAATAAACTGAGCACATTGAAGTACAGCATTTTGGAAAATGGAAAACAAAACAACGAATTAACCCAAATTCTGCACAAAATGGAAGACGAGATCACATCACACTCTGATAGAGTGGTGAAATTGGAAAAAGCTGTGGAAAATAGCACGAAAGTTTCCGAGGAAATGGTGGAACTGGAGAAGAAATTAAACGATGTAAAGTTTGATATGACGTTCAATGTGAAGAAAAGTCTTCAGACATATTTAGATATGGCTAATATAGATGGTGAGATTGATCAAAAATGTAAAATTTGAAATTTTTAGATGTTTCTTATTCAAGTTTTAAACTATAAATCGTTAACTTTAACTATATCGCTTTATGTTTTCTTTTAGCCACAAACGAAATCAATAATAAGCTCATTTCCGCCAGGAGAACTCTAGAAACTTTAAATGTACCGTCCATCAATTTTGATTTCCTACAAAATTTCAGTAATACCAAAGACAAAAATCTGAAGGCGATTCAGGAAAAAATTCAGGACTTACAAAAGAAAGTCAATTATGCCAAACAAGCCGCCGATGTGGTAAGTCCGGACTTTGTTTAAAAATAAGATCTGCATTTCTGGGGTAATAACATGCTTGTTTATATTGTCATGATTCAAAGGCATGGGAGTTTTAAAGGTACTATTTTCCAAATGTTTCCCTTAGCTGCTTCTGCCATTCTTCGACTGGAATATTTAGTAAATTTCACCAATGATTTAAGAAATGATGTGCTTAGGTCATTAATTGACGACTCACCTCAAAAAAAAAACGAGGGATTAGATTGCAACAAATCACACGAACATCAGAAAAACGTGTCTGTCATAATTCCAAAGCTCTCTCGCCGCATGACATGAGGCCCTATTTTGTTGAAAAAAATGTATTGTCTAGGGGGACAACGAAGATGTGTCGTAAAGGTCCATCGTGAAACTTACCGTTCCACTATCGTACAATTGTGACTACCGACAAATTGGCCTGCTGACAATATGACCTACCGACAAAGGTACCTAATAACAATTGGAATTACCGATAAATGTGCCTACTGGTAAAATTTGTAAATAAGCCTACTAGCAAACTGACCTATACTATAACTATCTAAAACTGTAATGACTCATCGATGTTCACGTGAACATCACTTAACTACCAGTAGTCGGCTGTTCATAGGCGGGGTATGAATGTTTAACATGGGTGAACTAGATCTGTCTCATGCTTAATAAAGAGTGGTTTGAAACATATTGTAAGTCAAAAATTTGGGAATTACCTTTATTCATCTGACAGTAATAAACTGTCGCTATCGCTTTCCTCGTTGAAATTGACTATAACTGGCTCTATGATGGTGTCGATGTGGTGGTCAAGCTGCCACATTTTTGTTTCTTCCTTCACAAAATGACGGATAGCATTCTGCCAAGCTTCAGGCGTTACTAGCTGTACGGAAGTCTCAAGTAAAACCTTAACGTCTGGTAATTTGAAGGTTGTATTATGGCGCGCAATATAACCCTTCACTTGAGCCCAGATGAGCTATTGTGTTCAGTTCACAGTGGTAGGGCGGTAACCGCAGCACAGTGACACCACATTGACGGGCCATCTCATCAGTCACGTAACTATTGTTCGCGCAACCATTGCTGCATCTCACTTTTTCGAGATCCCATAGTCGGTACACGTTCGGCTCGACGACTATGGTAGGAAGCATTATCCATGACGATCACAGAGTTGGGCTCAACTCGCTGAAGCAACCCTTGAAACCAGCTCTCGAAGCAGCTGGCATTCATTTCGTCATGGTAATCACCTCCTTTCTTAGAGACGGAAATCAAGTCACACTCTTCTAAAAAGCCACTATCGCTACCAATATGAGTTACGATCAATCTTTGACCTTTCCCTGACGGTCCACGAAGACCTGTTGACAAACCTTCAATGCTTGCTTGTCGGTTACTCACTACATTTTTGTCTATCCAGGTTTGTTTAACTGTGTGACCTGCATTTACCCATGTCTCGTCCAAATAATAGATTTTTCTGCTTTGTCGCCTATATTCAATCATTTCGCGTAGGTATTTTCGACGCCAGGCGACTATTTCAGGTCTCTCTATCAATACTGACTTCCGATTACGCGTTTCGTAACGAAAATTAATTTCGTGCATGGATTTCCTCATTACCTCGACGCTCATTTGGGGTATAATTTCATTTTCCTTGATCGCTGCATATACAGCCTTGAGGGTTGGTATCTCATTCCTAAAGAAGAATGAATGTACGGTTCGCCTTAACGCCATTTTGCTATCGTCATCCAATTTAACGGCCTTTCGTCCCTTCAAATTAAACTTTGGATCAGTAATAGCTCCAGTTTTCTTCTTTTCATGCACCACCCTGCGAATGGTCCACTCTGGAACGCCTGTCATACTTTCACAACGCGCGAGTGCATCTCCCTGCGACATAGTTCTGTTCAGATAATTGAACACGTTGAGCACGATTTCTTTCGCGTCCCTCTTCAGTGCTTTACGAAGCCGTCTACTTGTTCCCTGGCTTTCAGTACTTCCACTCGTGCCATTTGTACTCTCGATGGTTAAGTATAACCAAAACAGTAACCACAGAAACCACAACAATAACAATCACACAACAATTCTTATAAAAACACACAATATGCGATCGCTCAACGAAACACGTTCCAATGCGTTGCCGACGCCTATGAATCTGCCGGTCGAGGCGCGTCTTTGATTTCATTGGTTCTACCGGCGGAAAACATTCAGCCATTATTTCCATCTCTGTCTGTGCTGTTGACCACCGCAAAGCCACAGAAACGACATATGTCGTACGCTATACGGCTGTACTGGAAGGAAGCCGTGATCGAGCTCTGATCACGTGTTGATCACGCGTATGAGTCATTACAGTTTTAAATAGTTGTAGTATACCAACAAATGATCGCACAGGCAAATAAACCTACTGACAATATGACCTACCGACAGGTGTGCCTCAGGATAATTGGAGTTACCGAGAAATGTACCTAGCCACAAAATGCGTCTACTTTTAGTGTACCCACCAGCAAGGTGAGCTACCGACAACTGGGCCTTTTTGCATATGTACCTACTGACAAATAGGCCCACTGACAATATGACCTAACGACAATTAGAATGGCCGACAAATATACCTACCGACAATTTGGTCAATTATTAATGTACCTACCAATAAATAAGCCTACCGACAAGTACGCCTACTGACAGTATGACCTACCGACAGATGTGCCTACCGACAATTAGAGTTGCCGGCAAATGTTCCTACCGACAATTTTGTCAATTATTAGAGTACCTACCGATAAATAAGTCTACTTGCAAAGTGATCTAGCGACAACTGGGTCTTTCTACAGATGTTCCTATCGAGAAATAAGCGTACTGACCAAATAACTTACCGACAGCTTAGCCCACCGGCAAAGAAACCCACATCATAGTTATCATGAAAACAAAGGGAGTGAATTTCTAGTAAATTCACACAATTTTGATGCCTTACTTCGACATGAAATAATCCATAATCGAATTCTCGGGTATCAAGATAACTCATGAACAATATCAATAATTTAAGTTGCCTAATACTTAGTTTTCCATATTCTTGCCATACAGATAGTTGACATTATAGTTATTCGTTCTTATTTTCCAATTATTTTTTTTTCAGATAAACGTTCCGATGAACTTGAACAGCTGCCTGATGTCCTACAAACTACCAGAGCCAAAATTTTTCCAAAGTCTCTCGATTATCTACAAATGCACTAACTGTATTCTATTCAGGTGGAAAAATGGTTCAACAGATATGCTGACTGTTAAAGTGAAAAATGGAAAACCAATCATTATCGTGGAGGGAAAAACAATTCACTTGACTGAACAGATCAGTGAAAATACGATAAGGATAGAAAAGTAAGAAAACCGATATCTCTTTTTATAACTAAATTCATGAAAAACTGATCTTTATTCAAAACATGAGTTTGAAAAATGTATAAAACATCTGTTTTTTATTTTAACTGTATATGGCGATATACTCATAGCATTTGGATTTATGTTATGCTTTGTCAGTAATATGTAAACATGTGGTATTTGTGAAATTTTTTTCAACTAAAATCAAAACAGTTATTGTTTGGAATAAGCTGAGTGTTAATGCCGGTGAACATATTTGATTCTAGGATTGGTTCTCTATTAAAAATTGAAGGAGATGACGGGGTGCCAAGGATCGAGAAAGTGGACAAGTACTACATCATCAATCCAGCAGATTTGATACAAGTTGGTAGCAATGATGATAAAACTGATGGATATATTGTAAAAGTGTTGATAAATGAGCAGAACTTCGGTTTGTGGAAATTCACTGACACTGAAGGAACATGTAAAGGTGAAAAACGGTTAGTACAGTGAACTGAATAATATTATTATTGAGTTGAAATAATGATTGAACTTGTCGGCCACTTGCAGTTTCAACTATTTAATTTGTAACAATCCCATACATGAGTGATTCAAATGGCAAAATTCTTAGCGCGGAAGCTTTTTAATTTTGAGAGACATTGCTGTGCTCTCTTGTGTATTCAATAAAAAAACGCTTTTACAAAAATCTGGCGTCTTTCATTGCAGAGATCCTTCTACGAAGAGTGTGTTGTTGAACTTCTATAACGGGCAAGGTTATAAAGTGTATGGTGTCGACAAAACCTTGAATCCCAAGAAAATCGCTTTAAGATTCCATATCGGTACTTTTGACGAAAACAGTCTCATATACTTGGCCAAAGATGTAAGTATACAGATGGTTTAGGCTTACTATTATTTTGTTTTCAGTTATCAAACACTGTTAACGATATGTATTTTCAAAAAAAAAGTATGAGGATAGATATACCAACAAATATGATTATTGGTAATTATGGTTATACAAATTTCCCTAGTGGCAATTAGACCTATCAGCAAATATACCCACCGACTAATGTGCCTATGGACAATTGGCAAAGATTCCTACCGACAAATATGCCTATCGTCAATTGGAGCTACCCACAAATATGCCTACTGTCATGACCTAACGACTACTGGGTCTACCGACAAATTAACGTACCTACCGACAAAAAAGCCTATTGATAAAATAACTTATAGGCACCTGGGTCTACCGGTAAATATGCCTATCGACAGATAAGCCTACTGGTTAAATGACCTACTGATAATTGAGCCTACTGACAAATACACCTACCGATAATCATTAACACTAGTTAACTTCAGACAATCATACTTACCGACAAATAAAACTGACGCAAAAAACAATTTGCTTTTAGTGATTATAACAATAGAACATCCAGCAATATACTTTCTGAAACTCTAAAGAAAATTACCAGCATCACCCTCTAGAAAACCATTCTTTTTGTCAAAACTATTCACTTTTAATCTTTTTGCACTGTGTCTTAATAAACAAATTACATTTTTAGAGCGGCTGTTCCTATATAGCTCTCTACTTGAGCGACGGCTACATCCATTTCGAAGTCGTTCACAATGAAACCGTCTCGAACCGTTTGAGATCCGACCTCAGGTACAATGACGGCAAACGGTATCAAATCGAAGTAACCATGACCTACGAGAACAATTACCAGTCGTACGATCTAAGCGTCAGGGACGAAACGGGGAACAAGAAGAATACAGACAAAAAAAACAAAATGTTGTTGCCTAAACGATTGGTGTTCAAAGTGAAGACCGCTCATCAGTATGTAGGAGGAGTACCACCAACCTTCGACAGGAGTTGCGTCATTGGAGTAAGGTTGGAGTCGTTCTTGGGGATTTTAGAGATGAGTACCAGGTTGATCAATGAGATTATCTCGTACGGTGTTATACATAAGAAGGTAAGACTTTATAACAATTTATTCGCGATATAGAAATGACTGAAAAAATCATGTTTGATCTTTGGCCTTTGACGCTAGTTTACCACCATTACTTTTTGACTCTTGACCTTTATAACCTGACCGTAATTCCTCGACATTCTTGATTTGGCCTTTGGTTCCGAGGTTGGGGTCAATGCAAACCATAGATGAAATTAAAGAATCCTATAAAATTGTTATTGTTTTTCCTGTGTGAACTTTTCACTTTCGATCTTTTGATTTTTTGTTCATTTAAGTCCATGAGAAACACTGACTCATAGAGTCAATCTAGTTGGGGCTATTTTTTTTCTTAACTCCAAACTAGTGATTCGAGACTGGTGGATCAAGACTCCTGACTCGTAAACCATGACTCATGACGATTCTTTGACCTTTGACTACTAATCTTTATTTCAGCCATATTTGTCCATTGATCACTTAGCCTTGAACTTCGCTAGGTCACTTTTCCTGTGCTTTCCGATACTCAGACATTTGAATTTCTAATATTTAAGTGCATGAGATCCACTGACTCATGGAGTCAATCTACATACTGGGGGCTTTCATCTTTTCTTGAGAATTCTAGATTCGTGATCGAACACTAGTGGCTCAAGATACCTGACTCGTGAACCATGGCTCATGACGGTTTGACATTTGATCTTTCACCACTAATTTTTTAAAATTGATATTTGTCCATTGATAATTTAGCTTTGAACTTTGATTGGTCACTTGACCTTAGTTCTTCGTCATATGCGCATTGATCTTTGATTCTTAGATATTTGAATTTTTAATATTTGACTACATGAGATCACTGACTCATGGAGTCAATCTACAGAATTCAAGACTCGTGATTCAATACTCGTGATTCAAGGCTTGTGATTCAAGGCTAATGACTCGCAAACCTTGACTCATGTTTTTTTATGATTGATCGTTTGACCATTCTTTAACACTGATACATTTAATTGTTTTCTATTTGAATTTTGGAGTTATTCTACTTTATGCTTTTTTCTTTTAACAGAACGTCGAATTCTATCATGCCTGGGCCCACGAAGGTGGTCACCTCCAACTGAAGACACCCGAAGAAAGACTTCTCAATCTCTATTTTGTCTTGAGACCTGTCAAACCAAACGGCTTGGTGATGAAACTGAACGAAAACCAAAACATCACCTTAGAGAACTATAGACTGAAAGTATCTGGCATAGACCTTCTATCCAGCACTGAACTTGTGGAAAATGATTACAACGTGGTGCATTTGACCTTGGGAAAACATAAGGCGCTCGTTGTGAATGGACAGAAGGAGGATATCGCATTGTTAGAGGAGATTATGATCAAGGACCGTGTTGTGATTGGTGGTAGAGAGGATGGGTTTCAAGGAGGAATCAGGCATATATTAATTAATAATAAGTAAGTGACATTTGTCAGTTTTGAGATTGCGAAGCCTATTTACTTCTACTTTTCATTATTGTAATCGCGAAAAATTTCGAAAATGAGATATTAAGTTTTTTGCATGTTATACATTTGTGGTTTTTGAACATCGGTCCGGTAGCGGTGAAGAAAAAGGCCCAAAGCCAAAAGAATAAAAGTCGCTCAAACTTCGTTTTCTGACATTTTAGATGATCCTGATCATTTTTGAAAAATATTATAGGGGTAGTAATTGGGAAGTGGAGGGATGTAGGAGGGCAGACTAGAGTCGATTTTATCGGCTCATAGGAAAAGTGGCCAGTGCACATACTAGGAGGGTGCGATATCATAGCCAGTGTTATGTTTGGAGTGTAATTTAATGAAGTTATTTGATTTCGAGAGGCAATATTATATGGTGTAGTATATGAAACGTATAAGTACCTATCAAGACCTATTATAATATATTATATATTTTAGTAGCATTTGGATATTAGGAGTACGTACCGTCCTGCAAAGCTTTTGTCAATGATGAATTAACTGTTTTTCTATCAACACATATATTTTTCTGAATATCAAAATCCTTAAATCCATCTCGTCTAACCTTTAATTTGTGTTACTCCGTCTGTAATAGTTCTTTAAATATTTCGTCCAATAGATTGACTTGGTACTTATCGCATTGACATACAACAGGCACGGATTGACAAACCGACATAAATGCGAAACGCGACTTGTGTGATGCAGATATCTTTAAGAAACAGAAAATATGTGAATCGAATTCCGAATATTATCGCGGACTTGATACTTCCATCGTTTAGGTAGTAGTAAATTTTGGAAACTGATTCAAAAGCTGCGGAAATAAAATCGATGGAACATAGTGTTACCACGTTTTAGAGGCTCCTGCTCATCTTCAGACATTGTTTGGGGGAATCAAAACTGTAGGTTGGAAGTTGTATGCGGTAAATGGTAGAAAATTTTTGCACATTTGGTGTCAGTGAAAGACCTTCTATTTTCAACAAGCTGCTGATCTCAGTGATACTACGCAACTATTTGACATAGTTAATTGCACACATTTTCCCTACATCTGCCATCGAAACAGAAATATGGTAATTTGCTTTATATATACTAAGTGACATATAAATCCGAACACCCAGTTTAAATGGTTTTATTTTAATAAAATTTTGTATAAGTACTTAATGAAGCATAATAAGTAAATGATAAAAATTTCAAAATGATTGCACTGCTTTAAGGCCCCTTGACCTTTAATAATGTGTGGATCCACCCCGATGTGCTACGCATTCTCCAACGCGCCTAGGCATGCTTCTGATCAATGTCCTCCTGTGGTATCTCATTCCAGGCAACCACCAACTCCTCTCGAAGTGCTTCTAGAGTCTGAGGAGGACGTTGCAAATTGAGCAATCTCCTACCCATCATATCCCACACGTGCTCAATTGGGGATAAGTCGGGAGATCTTGGTGGCCATGGTAACAATGTGACATCATTATATTGAAAGAAGTCTATTGTGACTCTTGCAACATGTGGTCGGGCATTATCTTGTTGGAAAGTTGGATCTGCCAGGGTGTCAAGATAGGGTAAAAGATGGGGTTCTAGAACTTCGTGGATATAACGCTGCGCGTTCATGTTACCTCTGATGAAGATTAAAGGTGACCTGGAACCATAAGCTATAGCACCCCAAACCATAACTCCAACAGTGTGATGAACATGTCTTTCAACAAAAAACTGTGGATTCCTCCTTTCACCACGTCTCCTTCTAACCCTGGCACGACCATCGTGCATGCCTAAACAAAATCGAGACTCGTCACTAAAGACAATACTGTTCCATTCCTGATCCCAGAGTGACCGTTGTCTGCACCACTCAAGGCGATTACGTCGGTGTTCTCGAGTTAAAGGGAGGACCCAGTGTGGCCGGTATGAAAACAAGCCGAAACTTCTCATTCGTCGGTAAACACTTCGCATGCCAATAGGTCTCCCGTGTTTTGCAAACCATTCATTTGCAATGGACCTGGTAGTGGAGAAACGGTCCCTTAAGGCCAATAATCTTAGGCGGCGATCTTCACGGTCTGTTGTTCTACGGCGGCGTCCAGTGCCCCTTGCTCTTTGCGTACGGCCTTCTCGAAGCCACGCCTGACAACACCTAACCACTGTCTACACTTCTTTGCACTCTAACTGCAATTGTCCGAAAAGAAAGTCCAGCTTCCCAAAGTCCCACTATACGGCCCCTATCAAACTCACTAAGTTGACGAAATCGTACAGGTCTCCGTACTCTAGGCATCGTAACCGATCGTAAAGGATGTCAAGAACCAAAATCCGCCAACGTTGATTCTTTACTGCGGCTGAAATATTCATTTTTACAGCGTTAGTGAATTAAAAAAAAAGCGGTATAAAAACCGGAATGTCCAACTGATAAGGCTGAAAATTTTTTCACTTGTTATTTACAGTAAGATAAATACATTCACCAACTTTTATTGAAATAAAACCATTTAAACTGGGTGTTCGGATTTATATGTCACTTACTATTGTTTGAGATGCACAGATCGAAGGTTCATCGTACCTTAGTGAACCTACCTAAGTCAACCTACCTAATCTTGATCCGATTTCGCCTTTGAAATGTCTTGACTCATCCCTTTTCTTCCAAACCTCCAACGGAGGCGTGTGGAGTATTATAGAGTCAATCTACTTGAGGCCATTTGTTGAAGTTACTAGGAATAGATTAAATTGCACTATGTGAAAAATTGTGCTAGAAACCATGGGAAGTAGAGAGTATATCTAATTACCACCATTTTTTAAGAGCAGACGTGTTGGTGAATAATCTGGTAGCTGTTCAGATTTTCCACGGCTTTCTCGTTTTCTCATTGTACCGAAAATAAAGTCTTTTATGAATTAGTGTCAGCGTTACGTGGGAAGTGCAAACTCAACCTATTTGATGCCTTTTTTCATTTCAGATTGATATCCTTCAACCCGATAACAGTGCTGGACTTCTCTAAGTTCGACATCGGTAGAGAACAAGCACCACCAATTCGAGAAATCAACACAAAAAGCCTCGTGTCGAATTTCACCAACTCGATGCAAAACACCGAAGGTTGTGCCACTTTTGGCAGCTACACTGCTGATCCTGAAGCTGTCAAGTACGGAGATCACCCTAGGAGCTTCACGAAGCTAGAGTCCAGCTTCTGGAAGAGAGATTATAACGTTAGCTTGGAGTTCAGGACTTTCCATTCTGATGGGGTGATTCTCATATCGGTAGGCATTCTCAGCAAGAAAAGATCTACCATCTCGGAAATTATGGGTACAAAAGAAATTCTACCTGGTGGTGACCTTAAATTTGACCTTTCCATTCGAACTCATATCAAGGTCAATTCCATTTTCAAGAGAGACACTAGAAATGTATAGAACGGAAAAGTTTACATTTTGATGAGTTTTGGCCTCCAAAAAATTTGACCTTTGAAGTCATCAGTTTTAAAGAAATGCACTTTCATATGCAAGTTCCAAGTTTTTAAGCCCAGTTACTGAAGATGAAGCTGTTGAGCTGTTAAAACACGTCGCAAAAAAGAAGTCAGCAGGCTTTGATGATGTACCTTGCTCATTCCTATTGAATGTCATAGACTTAGTTGCAAAACCTCTAAGAGCACTGTTAAATCTGTCTTTTGCAGAAGGCATATTTCCTTATAAGCTGAAAGAATCACTTGTTATACCAATCTATAAAAAAGATGATATTACTAACATGGCTAATTATAGGGCATTTCTTTGTTATCCGTATTCGCAAAATTCCTCGGAAAGGCTTATTATAATAAACTGATAAAATTTGCTGACAAATTCAATATCATCAACAGGTACCAATATGGATTTCAGAAAAACCTATCTACAAAAGATGCAGTATTGTCTGTGTGTGACTTTGTCTTAACATGCCTTGAAAATAAAGATAAAACGTATTGTCTCTTTATAGATTTAAGCCGCGCTTTCGATACTGTCAACCATGCTCTTTTACTCAAAAAGCTTAATTACTACGCAGTCAGAGGAACTGCTTTAAATTGGAAAGAAAATTATCTATCCGATAGGGAACAACGAGTTGTCATTAGTAATGGTAGATGTAAATTATCTTCTATCACCATGGTTGTTTTAACTGGTGTTCCGCAAGGAAGCATACTAGGGCCTCTATTGTTCGTGTTGCTCGTCAACGATGCGAATATTTTCTTGAAACAGCATTTTGTTACATTATTTGCTGACGATACCACGGTTGGGGTTACAACTAAAGATCCAACTCAGCTCATTACTGAGTTGTCGGTTGCATCATATCACATGGAGAGGTACTGTGTAAGGAATGGCAATAAAGAAATGTATTTATTTTAAATCCAAAATGGACTTTACCTTCAAATGACCTTGAAAGTCTATGTCAAATTCAACGTCACCATTACATATCAAAGAAAATCCAAAGCCCATGCTTGGGTAGAATTTTTTTTAGACTCATCATTCTCGAGATTATTTCATCAGTTGGGTATTAGATATTGAGCATGACCTCCAAAAGGTTAAGGACTCATCCAAACGGAAAAAATATCCCCTATATCCATTTCTGGTTTCTTTTGAAAAAATGGACCTTGCCTAGAAACCACCTTGAATGTGAATCTCAAAGAAAATCTCAAGGTTACCGTCAGATAGCCGATGAAGTATCATACCCCTTGCCTAGGTAGAATTTCTCATTGTTGTTGATTCAAAAAGCAGTGGCAAAATATTTTCAAAAAAGTGCCCCAAATTTAGGATTCATTTGGATGTACAATTGAAAATGAAACTAAAGCTATTTCGTTCAAAAAGTCGACGGATTTCAACAATTTTATTAAATGGAATAGATCCTTCCAAGAGAAGATGATACCTATAACATATTGTGAATGTAGCGTTTGCAATCCTCCAGTAAAGTATTTGCTCTGTTTTCAGGTTAGTCAAAAACAGGATCAGTATGTCCTACTGGAACTGAGGAAAGGAAAACCTGTTTTCCAGCTAAAACGGAAAAAGCGGAAGGTAATGAAGCAGTTTGACAAAAAAGCAAATGACGGAATGTGGCACATCATAAACTTGGAGAAAATGAAGAAGAAATTGACGATTACCATTGACAAAGAGGCTAAAATTATTAAGATAGCCAAACATAATCTGAAGGATGAAGTATACTTTGGAGGAGTACCTGATGATTTCAGTTACAACAAAATTGATATTGTGGTAAGAGTGATGCTATATCTGTTTGAGTCTTGAATTTAGACCATAACATCAAAACTTAAAAAGCACCCACTGAACTGAAATAATTTCTTTAATATTTTTTATTTAGAATCCATACAGAGGATGCCTGAGGAATCTAGTCATAAATAATGAAGACCAATTTTTGATAAATAATAACAAAGATGTAACCCATTCAAATATACGACAATGCTTCATAAATGTAGAGGAAGGTGCATACTTCAGTGGAGATTCTTACGCCGTTTATAGTAAGTACAAAAACTCATCAAATATAAATACAGTGCGGTTCAAATTTGGCTGACGGGCTGAGTTCAATGTGCACGAGAGAGAAACGCGATGCTAGAAAGAGAAAGAAGCAGGCTTCATAGCTAAGCTCATCACGTTGCCTAGAAACGCTGATGCCGCGCTGCCAATATGTTACTCTAGCTCGTTGAATTAAGATGTCTGTTGAAAATATGCGTCAAGTTTAATCAATACGCCCAAATAATGGTTTTATTTTGAGCGTACACATTTTTGAATTGTGAATTGTATCGAATCTGTTTAGGATGGAGTCCGGATCGGTCTTAGCTATAATACTATAGATCGAGATCAGGATCGGCAAAAATTCTGCAACATTGCATTATTATTGCGCTTGACAATACCGTATCTTGTATATGCCAAGGCAAGGTTTTCACCTCCATGATCCTAGTTTAGCGATTTTGGTCAGTAAATCAAAGATAATTCTAAAAGAAGCTAAAAAACACATTGAAATAAATAGTTCTAATCAAAATGAAAACAAGATATTAAATACTCGAACAGACCCCCTTCTTGGGTTTGACAGTAACCTAACCTATTGTAGAAGCCTGTGCGAACATTTTCTAGCGTGGTAGACGTCACCGATCGGCGTGCTTCTGATATTTTTCAGCCACAACTACTCCAAAGTATTCCCCAAATTTGGGAACCATGCCAACCCTGCAACAGCAAGAACAGCTTTGCCGGAGTTTCTGCTGCTCTTTGAATTTGAGAATTTTACAGTGAAATCTACTCATTAGCAGGACATTTCTATTTTGACCAGAAATATTGTAACTGCTCTTTCTAAATCATACAGGCATGTATTTTTTTATGTTGTAAAAGTTATATTTTTATGTTTTTACAGAGGATGACTACCACATAAACAAAGTATTCGAAGTAAGTTTCGAATTTCGTACTGCGGAGCAAAATGGAATTTTGATCAGTATTTCAAAGGCAAGAAACTCTCCAGCGATGAGCGTCGAAATGCAAAATGGTGCTATAGTAATGGCTGTTGACTCAGGTGAAGGAGCCACTACGAATGTCACCAATAATTTGGACTCTGATTTTGCCCTGTGCAATAATAGGTAAGGAATATTTTTATATGAAAAATCGACACAAAGATTCTATGTATAGAGTAACAATTCAACAAAACCCGTTTTTCAATCGCAAGCTGGGTAACTATTACCCAAAAATTCGTTTTTCAACCTCTGGTTGACTAACTTATTGTAATCGTAAATGCGGCAACTCCGTTTTCTTCTCTGAATTATCGTGTTCTGTGCATTTCGTGACGCTTGATATTTGTGTCTTGTGTCATCCGTGACAACTCATGTCACTGTCAAGCAAAATAGCTTAGACATTAGAAAGTGCCGAAGTTCCTACAATTATAGGACGCCTTTATGGCGTCCTTGTTTTTCGTAGTCTTTTCTCTCCTTCAGAATTGCTCGGGTAATTCTAGATTTCCACTGTTCCGTGTCAGCGTCAGCGCTCTCCTATTGTGAGGTTATGTTTTCTTTTTGAATTGTAGGAAATTTGAGGGTGGTAAAACAGATGATCAATAAGAAGCATGAACAATTTGATGCAAATAAATATTTGTAACATAACCTCAAAATAGAGCGCTCCCACGGAACAGTAGAAATATAGAAATACCCCTGCATTTCTAAAGGACAGGAAAAACTATGAAAATCAAGGAGGCCATAAAGGCGTCCTACAATTTTGTAGGAGCGACTGACGGTATGGCGCTTAGTCCTCTTGTTTTGCTGCCTCATTATAGTCTTCCGTATTTCGATTTTGCGCAGTAGGGAGATAATTCTGCGATATTCGTTTTCGAAATAAGAAAGCTCTGTTATTTACGAAGAATGGGGGAGAAATTATTTTGTAATGTTGTATTTTCCTTATTCGCTGGTGCTGGTATTTATAAATCTAGATAATTAAATTAATTTCAAACATATTGGTTAAAATATAATAGAAAAATGAGTTTTAGATCACAGATAAAAATGAATGCAAGAAATATGCAGTATTCTAAATAAATTGAATTGTCCTTATTTTTGTTATATGCAATGTGACAAAAGTAGTGGTAGTGATCGTAGAAAGATGTATTTAGTTAATTTGGCTACATAAACAGTGTCATCGGCGAAAATTTAATTTGAATTCTGCATTTTTTGACGGTGGCAGGTAAATCGTTTATTTATAAAATGAAAAGAAGTGGTCCCAGGATACTGCCCTGTGTAACACCTAAAGTATTTCAATTTTTGATGAAATAGTGTCATTAACTTTTGTAAATTTCATCCTTTCAGAAAAATAATTGTTAGCCTTTTATTGTAGATCTGCTGGTTTTCTTATCACTTGTCTTTCTGTGATTCTGTGATTCTTATCCTATTCGTTTTTTTGTCCGGTTTGGACACAAATATTGCAGAAACTTTTTCAGGGGAAGATTCAAAAAGGTTTTCGACAAAATAGACTCAAGTCGTCATAAAAACTCTTTTCCAGTCATCCTTATTTACTATCGTAGTCAAAAATAACAGCGACCGGCTTAACGATTCTGTATTTTTGTCGCACCAAAAACTTTGTTACGGTGTAACTACAACTTTCTATTCCACCAATAAGTGGTTCTCACTTTATAGTTAACTACTAGTCCAGTATATACCCTATTTCACGAGTATCCGTCACGCTTTTACGTCTACTGAGGTGAACAGCTGATCAACAAGTGACATTTTTGTGTTAGTCTGCAACGTTGGCAATAATGGATCGGGATGAATCTAGCAAATAGAAAATGAATCTGTAGCGTACAAAAAGATAACAAATATTTAAGTAAGATAAAAATATTATTGCATATTGAATAAATGTTTGATGAATATTTCGTGCTATCGGGGATATTTTTAGGATGAAAATAACTTGTTAAAAAATTCACATGACCCTGATGACCTCTTCACACTCGGTTATTTTGCAATTACCTATTTTCAATATTATTTTGTAAACCCTTATTTTCTAGATGGCACAACGTAACAGCGATGTACACGACATGGGAGCTTACGATTAACGTGGATGGAATCAGGAAAAGTTGGGTGCAGCAGGACGTTGGTACGGCGATGGACGAACTGGAAGCACCACTGTATATTGCGGGCTTACCAGGTATACATTGTTGATTAACGTATTCTACCTGAAAATAACCAACAGTACTATATTCGCACGTCCAAAACACTATCCAAGATGATATGGCATACCGTAGCGTCATCTCTGAGAAATTGTCACACCTATGTAGCTGTAGCTATATGCTCATATGTAGTTGGGTACAGCGCCATCTATGAGCATGAGCACCCATATAGCAAAATTCAAGTGTGAGAACATTTTACTTCTAAAACGAACGCCTTCCTAATTGGTCCTCATGTCTATGAGACACTAACTTGTTCAAAGTAGATTTCTTATTATTGCAGAGTGGATCAACATAGGGTAGTGGTGTGAGTGATAGGCATCCAAGAGAGTTTCGTAACTTTGATATTGCTTGACTATGGAACAAACCACGATACCAACAGTTCAAACAGTGTCAGAAGTACATTGCAGTACGCTGTACACTCTAAGTAATACTTTATATTTGTACTATTATTGCTTTTTTGACAGTAAAATTATGTTTTCAAAATTATGATTTGGTAGTGTACACATCATAGTGCACCTTTGTTTTTAGCAGTCGGATTATTAAGCGTGGTTATATCTTCGCTAAAAGAACGTCCTCTTTTAGTGACCATTTCCGGGTGCTTACGCATGTCCTTATTTCTTCACTTTAGTCATTTTTTTTTACGATAATACCCAAATACAATGTACATGAATGGTACAAGTAGGTAAAAGATTGGGGGAGGAACACCAAATTGACTTTTTTCGACTTACCATTTTTCAGCATGTTATCCTCTGAATATAAAAAGAAATATCTCATTATGTGTTATTTTTCCCATAATTGATGAACCTACAACAATTTCGAAACTTTGAAATCAAAAATCATAAAAGCAAATGACCATTACTGAAGTTGACCTATTTAATAACGGACAGCCCACTAACCGGGGCATCTCCAATTATTTTTGATCTGATATTGGTCACCCATCGCAAAACATAAACAGATTTAAAAACAAGGAACAATCACTGAATACCGAAAAATTAAAGTTACCTGGTTATCCCAGGCACATATAAGCAAACCACAAACAAACAAAAAAATTGTGCTTACACCAGTACTCTAAACACTACGAAGCTTTTCGCAAGGATTTGGACATAATTTATTCTGCAACCTTATTCAAAACTCTGGATATTTGACGCAAGTTGCGATGCTGGTTGACTTTTGGGGGACGCTCAAGTATTGTCAACAGAATAAAATTATGTTCAAATCAGAGTATCTTCGCGCTCAAATTTGAGAGTTAGCTGAGATTACAATGCTGAAGCGACCATTATTGATAGTGTCCATTACTCTCACCACTAGCCTAGCTGTGACAAATTCTCATAAATGACACTACAGCATCTCGTTATTGATTGATTTATAGTTGTGAAAATGAGCGACAATACTAAATGTCTGATTTGTTTCTTTCAGATAGTGCACCAGGCGGAACACTAAAAACAAGAGAAAATTTCAAAGGCTGCTTACGAAACCTGAGGATAAATAACGAACGAATAGACTGGGCAGAAATGAAGCTACTCAACAATATAATGCTGGATTCGTGTCCGGTTGATGCATCGGAAAGCGGAAATGTTGAAACCAGGAACTTTTATACGGTAGTTACTTAGGATAAACTGCGTTTGTACTATTATTTTGACTCCTGATTGAAACAGCAAAAAACCAAATTGACCTTATTCTCTGCCATCAATAAAATTTAATATTTAAGTGTTATTTAATTATGCTAAATGTCGTCCCCTAAATAAAGACGATTTATTATTATTATTTCTTTTGTTTAAACGCCGTACTACCGTTAGATGGCTGTACGAGATGTTGTCCAACTTGCTTTACTCAAATGCTCTCCAAAACGACCTCTTTAGAGTGCGAGTTAATATATGGGAGCTCGCAAGTGTGGGTTTTAAAATAAAACTAACTATTTTTGACTAAACATAACAATTTTCACGAATGAAGAAGGATTTGTTTTCTGACGTGACCAAACTGAATCTCTCTAAGTTTATGTTTTTGAAACAAAAGCGTAGTACAATATTATTTAAATTAAAAACATATTCTGAAGTTTTCTTCTTGAAACCGCAGTGTTCCCAGTAGCGTAACCCAGCGCCATCATTTGCAATACTCTGCGATACACTATCAGCACAGCACTGATACCAATTATTAACGCGTTCTACCTGAAAATAGCCAACAATAATACTGTATTTCGGCGTCCGAAGAGGGGCCTGAAAGATACTAGCGCCATCTATGAATTTACAAATCTACTTTTAAAAGAATGTTTAGCTCTGCCACTACCTCATAGATATCCCTTTTTGACGATTATGTAATGCGTATTTTAATTGGATATCTTCAAGTGAAACATGTTTATCGACGCCTAAAAGAATATCCAGTTAAAATAAGCGTTACACAGGTGCCAATACCCTTAAGATGCCTGGAAGATACTAGTGCTAACTGTGAGATAGTACCATAACCAAACATTCTAACACTGATATGCATAGACGATCTCCGTTTACTAGCGGCTCAGCGTTCTCCAAGTCGAGTGTAACTATTGTTTGTTTAAGATTGATTTGGCATTAATGCTACAATATTAATTTGGATAATTATTCGTTTTACACATTTTTTTAATCAATTTTCTGTAGTTCTACATTCTTGTCTATTAAAATCACATCACTATGCATTTTTTGTATTCATAAAGTGATTTATTTAATTTCAACTTGAACATTTTTAAATTCGTACTGTCGTCATTACTCAATTTATTAACTTCATGCTACTATTACAATTTACAGATGAAAATCTATACTGCCTCTAGTTTCTTAGTTATGATGTAAGTTTTGTAAATGTGGAGGCAATAAATGATTTTTTAATTTGAATATGAAAATAAGAACTAATTAACAAAAAATTTGTACGTTTAACCACTGTAGTTCTTCCAATATAGACTTACTCTTAGCATATTTGTTTTTATTTAAAATGATTCTCATAGCTGTACTCTGTAGAATTTGAAAATATGAATATGTAAACAAAATGGCTGAACAATATAGTAAATGGGGAAGAATTATAGTTATATGCAATTTTTTGGAATATATACTGAGATTATGGCAAAGTCTATAGAAGTAATTTATCCTTTTTGATATTTTTGAAATAATGTTATCCATAATTATCTCGAAACATCAATTTACTGTCCACATATATACCCAGATATTTTAATGATTCGACTACTTCAATTGTTTCTTCATTAATCATGACCCTAATTGTATTGTGATCTAAATGTTTCCCTATTGACATACATTTTGTTTTATTAGTGTTTAATTTAGGTTTGTTAATATTTAACCAATTCATATTTTTTTCAATATTGCTATTTAACAGTTCTAAAGCAGTGTCCTAATGTTTGTGTGTTATATCAATCGTCCGGAGATATTTGAATTTTGCATGGTTCTAAAATTTCAGAGATACCTTTTATATATACAGTGTGAGTCTTCATAAAGTGCACATATCAAAATCAGGGAAACTACACTCTATTTCATCGACGGATAAATCATCAAAAAAACATGAATTTGATTATTTATGAATATATGAATATTTTAAAATTTTTAGTAGCAGCTTCTAACCATATTGAAATAACTCGTTACAACTTTTAAACTAAATGTCCTATCATATTGGAATACATTTTGTAGTGATTGCTGGTAAAAGGACGTGCCTGAAAAGTGAAGAATTCAAGGAAAAGTAATGACATCCATTTAGAATAAAGAAAATTTTGATGAAAATCTGTTTTTTTTTTTCATCATTTTTACAATAATTTAAAATTTTCTATAAATATCGTCCCTTGTACCCTACCTTTTTTTATTTGTAAGTTATTCTACATGTTATCAGCTTTATAAAAGTAAAAATTGCACGTTTATTACTCAAATGTAACAGTTTCTATGAGTGTTTATAAAAAAGCCCATGCGCATCGTCTTGCTAGGCTTACCTTTTTTTGGTGATTCAATGTAGAGTCGCGCGGGCTGAAGTACAAGTGGGGAGGCGGGCCCAGTTGAAAAACAATTGAATTTTGGGCAGTTAGGCAGCTATTTGTGTTTCTCCTGCCAACTTTATCAGTTTCGTTTGCTACATATCACCCTTTCGCTTTTTGGTCGCGATGCCACGTATAAGTGATTTCCCTCCGGCACACATTGCCGATATCCATTATTATTATGGAATGTACCGAGGGAGTGCTAGAGCTGCTTGCACAGCTTATCTAGCTGCATTTCCAAATCGACGCCCTGTTCCATCAGCCCGTAACTTCCAAGAAGTACATAGAAGACTGGCTATCACTGGACTTGGTTTGCCTCGAGATCGCCGCGAACCAGGTGTTAGTATTCATGTTGCTATCGAAGAAGCCATTTTGGATGATTTGTTTGCTGACCCGACTACTAGTATGAGACGTTTGGCGTTACGTCATGGCGTATCCCAGAAATCGGTTTGGCGCATCTTGAGGAAAGCAGGGTTGCATTCATACCATTATCAAAGGGTGCAGCACTTGCATGAAGATGTGGATTGGCGTCCAAGGTGCGTAATGTCTACATGGATTTTAATAAAAACAAGAGACAATCCTGAATTCCCGAAAACAATTCTGTGGACAGATGAATCTCAATTCACGAGAGACGGTATCGTGAACTATCGTAATTTACATAAGTGATGCCCAAAAGATGAAAACCCTAGGCTGAAAAGGGCTTCAACATTTCAAGTAAAATTTTCTGTAAATGTGTGGGCCGCACTGATTGACAACTTTTTGATTGGTCCAATAATACTCCCGAGGACATTAAACGGAGAGAGATTTCTGGAGCTTTTGCGGACTGAACTGCCCTTGCTGTTGGAAGAAGTGCCGCTGCAAACCCGTAGAAGAATGATGCTTCAAATGGATGGATGTCCTGCCCATTACTCGCTGATTGTCAGGTCTTTTCTTAATGAAAATTATCCAGGCCGCTGGATCGGTCGACAAGGACCTGTTGGGTGGCCGGCGCGTTCCCCAGATCTCACACCTCTCGACTATTTTTTACGGGGGACAATGAAACAAAGGGTGTACAACAGTTCCATAAACAGCGAAGCGGAACTTGAAGAAAGAGTTTTGCGTGTTGCAAACGAAATCAAAAATGATCCCGAGATGATTCGCAGGGCAACTCATCAAATTTCACTTCGCGCTACAATGTGTTTGCAGCAACGGCGTGGCCATTTTGAACATTTGATGCATTAAGCCAAAATGATTATCCTATAGACAAATCTATTTGATTTTATTTGTTAAAGATAATGAATGATTCATGTAGGTTAATACTGTTGTTTTATTCCTACTCTGGCGTTGAACTGAGTTCACTGCTTTTTGAAACGCTGATTTAAAAACTTGTATCTAAATAATAAACTTGCAATTTTTCACCATTAGGAAGCTAATAACATGTAGAATAACTTAACATTTAAAAAAGGTAGGATAAATAGGACAATTTTTATTCAAATTTAGCAATTGTTTTAAAAATCATTGAAAAAATAGTGAGTTTCAGCATACTCCTCTTTATTTTAAAATTATAGCATTTAATTTCGTGGAAATTTTCACTTTACTGGTACGGCCTATTATTTGCAATCACTACAAAATTTATTCCAATATGATAGGACATTCAGTTTAAAAGTTGTAACGATTTATATAAATAGGGTTAGCTGACTCTAAAAATTTTAAAATATTCATAAAAAATCAATTATTGTTTTTAATTTTTTTTTGATAATTTTTCCGTCAATAAAATAAGGTGTAGTTTCCTTGATTTTGCTATGTGCACTTTATGAAGACTCACACTGTATAATCCATTATAGCGGCCGTAATTTACTCCCCTGTGGCATCCCTACTGATATATTTTGATGGTTTGACATATTTCTAATTTTAGTTTTTTGACTTTATTAATAAATTATTTTGCAAAACGTTTAAAATCACTCAATGACAATTTTTCCCTATGTATACTCTCATCTGCCCTATAAATATACAGTTACAGTACATTTTTTCTCATCTAATACTTCTCCAGTCTTCCACCACAATTTGGATTTGGATTGTCGTTTCTGTAGAATATTTTTTTCTAAATCCAGCTTAATGTTTTGCCAAAATTTTGTTTTTTTTCCCAATGGATTCAATGATTTATTCATGTATTATCCTTGCGAAAAGCTTCTCGTCATCTGGAAAGACATTAATCGGACGCCAATTTGTTTATAGCATGTTGAACTTTTGGCACAGGAGTAATGGAGGAACACATGACGGTGGGAATTGGCCCTGTACTAAAAATGATTGACCAATAATAATAATGCTTCTCCAATTATACTATAAACTTTTTTGAGAGACTCTCACTACGATTTTTATTAAATTTCAATTCTTAGTTCTTATAATGTTGATGTTTATTGTCATAAATTGATTCATTGACGAATTATGATATACTTATAATGAGCATAAGTTGGGATCACAGTCATCAATCGTCTTCACTATTTGATTTTATACTGTCTATAAAATAAGTATTTATTCTTTCTGCCATAATTACTTTTTCTGTCACTACCTCATATACGAATCGCATTTCGAGAAACAATATTCTTTGTTTTCAACATCACTTTAGAATTATTTTTG